CATAATTTTAAGTTTCTTGAAAATGACAGCACACCAGGTGCAACGATCTCACAGGATGTTTGTGACTAGTATTATTCACTTACAATTTCTTTAAAGTTTGGTAGTGTTGTTTTTTGATGTTTGTGAATTTATATGTATATTTTTTTAAGTGCAATGTTAAATAAAACGTGTACAATGTAGGCCTGCAATTTACTTTACTTGCATACAATAAATGAACCAAAGGGATTTTTTGAAAAATCATACGTGAAATTTCAAAAATAATCATCTTTTTTTTGGGGGGGGGGGGGAACAAGGAGAATGTTTTTTAAATAAACTGATACCAGGGGAATTGCATTAGGCCAAAAAAAAAAGTCTCCGGTTTCTGGTATGGAGCTTGCCCAAAAAGTGGTGCGGCAATGCTTTTTTTTTTTTTTTTACCTGATTTTTTTGCTTCAAATGTCGGCTGATGACTGCAAATGGTGCCCGACTAAACTAAGTGCAAATATATGGGAGTCCAGAGAGGCCACATAAAGCTTATTCTCGATCATAACCCCCTCTAAAAACACGTTAAAATTGTGCAGCAGCAGGATTCCAGTCAAACCAGTGAGTTTGGCGGTTTTGAGACATCATCTTTCATTGAAAAAAAACCTTTTTCATTTTACCGACGCGCATGGCTACGGCGACGTGCGCGCATACCAGAAACCGGAGATTTTTTTTTTTTTGGCCTTACGTACAATCCTGGGTCTTGCTAACATTTGCTCTTTGTGGCGCTGCGTCTGATTGAGACTCGAGGAGCTAGCTTCCTTAGTTACGGCCAACTGGAGTCATTAGTAACGATTGTGTGACTAATGTTAGTAGGTGCCATTGACGTCAGAACTCTCTTGCTAAATTTGTACTTTCTATACTTTACACATGGCTCATGAATGACTGTGAAGATGTATAATGTACAATTGGATGCATACATGTACTTGTACAAAGTATTTAGTTGTTAATTATCATGAATATCTCCAAAACAATATCAAAAGGAATCCTACAGTTAACTTGTACTAACCGTGTGTGAGAAAGTAAATGACCAGACACAAATTAAATGTTTCAACAAAATTTATTCTTGGTAAATAAACTTCTGTTGCAACGATTCATTAAAAGAAACTCTTTTGATTACCAAACAGAACAAAGGATAATCACAATATTGGTTGCTACTAGTTACTGTTTATCTCATAGAACTAGAAATATTAGAGTGCTGACTCGATGTACAAAGTGATGCCTGCTGGGCGCATCCATGTTTGTGCACAAACCTATGGAAAACTCAAAATTTTGTACGGCTATTTGCATCTATACACATGTTTCTGCATACGGTAATTTGTATTCTATACAGGTGTTTTATCAGAGCCTATACGCCCTAAACCGAAACCAGTAAATGAGCATTTCGTTTTGCTCTGCGCAAACAATGCAAACGTATGCGCATATCCGCTGCAGATCTATGATTTTGCCATGACGTTTTTTAACTGTCATGATGCCCTTAAATATTGTTCTTGCGCGTTACATTTTAAAGCCAGAGTCCATCATTTGCAGCTATCCAAGAAATACATGTAAGTGGTGTAACTATTTTTGAAAAACATACTTGGTTGAAAAATAGTAAGGGGACTAAACTCCCTGTGAAATTATTCTTTCTGGCAAGCTGTCATTTTGAAGAAATCAACATGATCAACGAAAGAAGTGAGAACGTGTCTCAGACGCTGGATTCAGGCCCCATTCAAAACATGATTCAGCAACTTTTGATTTGAAATCGAGATCCTAGAATGTTGTTTTTTTCCCCGAAAAATGCAGCTGAACCTAAGCTGAAACTTAATCAGATTGGTTGTTCAGCAACCTTCTTCAGATATTGAGCACTTTTGTTGCTTCAAACGAACAAAATGCACAAATTACAAATGATGGACTATACCTTTAAGAGTACACTTTCAAAATTCACCCCATCTTATTTCATCATGTTCTACAATCACGCACATGAATTCAAAGTGTCTGCGTGCAGACGGCTTCAAAGTATCTCTGCGTGTAATAATTATATAATGAGGAGTTAGCGCTCTAGTAATTAACAGTACCGTAGACTCTCTATTGTTTATGTACACAAGTATACACACAGTGTACATTATTGTTACTATAGGGAAACTCCCATACTTTTTATGCCATTTCCATATTTTTAACCTTAATTTTAAAAAGAAATACAGGTCATATCATGTATCGACTTGTCTTTCAATGACAATTTGTGGCTTTTGGTTTCGGTTTTGGCCTAAATTTGTCTACAAATTATCAGTTTTAAACTTTAATACATTGTATGACTGTGCCATTCAGAGCAGTTTGTTCAGTAATTTTCTTATCGCATTTACTTTGTTGTGACTGCACACTATGTACATTCAGATCATTTTTTATTTGGTCAAGATCGTTCAAAGTAGATAATCGAGAGACTCTTGGAATTTGATCAAAAGACTTCCGGATTCACCGCATTTTTTGTTGTGTGTGAGTCTGTGAGATACACTGTGAATAGGAATTGGGGCTCGTTCTTGAACTTTGAACCAAACATGACGCAGGCTTAAGTAAACACTTCAACAGTTACTTGCGTCAATAAAATGTATAATCATTAATGTAGAGTAAGCTTCTGGTTTTGGTAAATCGCCAGATTTTCTGAAGTAAAACTTTGCACAAGGGTGTTGCTAAAAAAAACCAGAAGCTGGTCCAGAGTTCACACAATTTTATTCAGTTGATTCAGCACGGCTATTCACTGGAAGTCTTTTCATGCATCTGGTCACAATGGGCCAGATTTAGCCCATTTATTGATCAGGCATGCAACTTTTCCTCGGATCCGTTGATTTCCTCGTTTTTTACTTCTCATGAATGCCATTACAAATTGAAAAACACTGTACAAAGTCTTGTGTGGTTTGGGATTTCCTCGTTTTTGTCTACATTCCCAGTTGCATGCCTGATTGATGGGTAATCCTATACAATAGCACTGCCCGGCTCTCTTCTGTTGAACTAGTTTACACAAGTCATAAGTTACAGTTGGGGAGTCAGTCGGTCGGGGAGTCAGTCAGTCAGTAAGTCATTGAGATGTAAACAAGACACTAGGCTAAACATTGTAAACAAGGCACTAGGCTTTCTCATTGTATTTTTGTTGTACAAATGGAAATAAAAAAACAAACAAACACAAATAAATAAACAAACAAACAAACATGTCCTCTTGTACACGAGCAAAAATCGTTCTGGAACCTTTAATTCCTGTACCTTAATCCACCTTTAATTCCGCCCCCCCCCCCCCCAATGCCCAGCTCAGTTCATCAGCATCAGCCTCCATCAATACTTTGTATAGGGTTACGCCTCCCTTGGAAATCAGATTAACTGTGGTGTCAAACCAGACACACCACAGACCCCTCCCCCCCCCCCCAAAAGGGAAAGAATAAGCTTGATTTAATCTTTTGATTGCTCGCGCCGTGCTCGGCGGATTTGACATGACATTGACACACAAGCCAGTCAGCTGATGTCTTCAGCTGTGACATTCTTGTCTGCTTTGCTCCGTTTTTCTTTGTCGGGCTTGCGGGTGTCGTGTTTTTATTCTTCGCATGGCGGCAAGACATGAACACCACTAAGTCTCGATTTGTGGTTTAGAGTTTCTCCAAGCTACCGTACATGTTGGTAGGCCCTGTATGATCATGATTCATGTACACGTGTGCGTGTACAGTTCATACAAAAACTGTTCATACAAAAATGTATTATGTAGAGTATGAAATTAGACCTATAGTGCTTGGACAAAATTTAAATCGTGTACATTTTTGGTATAATTAAATCTGTGAACATTTAGAGGGAAATTAGATCTACAAAATGTGCTTCTAAATAGACAATATTTAAAGATTTAGATGTACCGGTATGAATATAACTGCAGGAGAGTTTGACGTTATCTATATGTGCCTCACAATACTTGTATAAATTTACGTTTAATTGTACATTGTACAAAATACATGTGTAGCACCTTTATTCTACAATTATACACGCACAAGTACCACATGTGTACATCATGTGCCAACTAATTATGATCCACCATATCAAGCTCATAAGAGTGCACGGTAGATTAGATGTCATGATGCATTCTCTCACCCAGAATGTACTGTTTGTTTTACGGACAGTGAGTTACATGTAAATAATTGTCTACCAATGGAAGGGACCTAAAATGAGTTGGAAATTATACTTAAATTCACACTTAATTTATACATACTATGTACATGTAAGGAATTCATTAATTCATTCACAAAAACTGAAAAAAATATTTAAAGGTAATCTATACAACATTTGCAATAATGCAATTCACATGAAAAACTCAAACTACCAAATTATTATAAAAAAATGTACTGGGCCTTGCTATGGTACTTTCTTTTGAATAATGTGCATTTTCTACAGCCAGCGTTGTCATCTGCATACATACATATAATACATCATGCGGCTTTGCTGTGATGGTCTATCCATATTTGTACGTAGAGACCCAGGGGAGATTTGTCATGCAGTCATTTGTTAAGTAGCTTTATTGTAACCATGGTAACAGATGGGCCCAAGATGGCAACCATCCACTAGCAATTAAAGTGTAATTTGAATTCAAAGGGAAACGTTGAACCCCCGCAATATGAAACAGTGCAATAAATGTTGTCGTTTCATATGCTTGCTAAATTCTTTGACTGACAAGTAACAAGTTGAATGTTTTGAAATGTTTACAAAAATGCTGTTCTGTACTATGACATCTTGAATTTGTTCCTTGTTGCAAGTATTGTTGGTTATTTTCAAACGAAACTTTCTGTCAAAAGTTTCTGTTTCAAATACATTTAACTGTCAAAACTGTTTAATGTCCAACTGTAACTCCATCCACTGACTATGCAAGGATTTTACATGTTATAACGAGAGTCTGTGTCCTGACAGGTTCGTATTGTTTTCTGAAACATGAATGGTTTATTTTTTAGTTCTGACTTTGTTTTTTTTCTTTCTAGATGTTGATCCGAACTATCGGCGGGCACGCAGCGCAGAGGACCTGTCCCCGAACTCCATCCCAAATGAGCAACCATTACCCTCGACGCCGCCGGTCACCAAGCATTCATTCGGTAAGTTTGCAGCGTAGGTTTTAAAATAAAAAATAAGAGAGGTAAAAACAAATCAACAATGGACTCCGTGTTGCAAGTACCCCCTCAACGGTGACGAAGAGAGAGTTGAGGGAGACCACTGGGAAGGACATTGGAACGCATTACCGTCAGCGCTTGACGCTCACGCGAAGACGCTACGGATTTGCGCGCTCTCAGAATAAACTAACGCATTACCGTCAGCGCTTGACGCACACGCGAAGACGCTACGGATTTGCGCGCTCTCAGAATAAACTAACGCATTACCGTCAGCGCTTGATGCTCACGCGAAGACGCTACGGATTTGCGCGCTCTCAGAATAAACTAAGTCGTGCGTACCGGGTACTTTGCACAGCGAGCCACAAGTACCAGCGCGCCCACGTGGTGTGTCCCCCACTGAAATTGGTTAAAAGGCTCCCTGTCTGTGTTCGCGCTTTGATCCCATATCTGAAAAACATTTTTTTTTTTATTTAAATGTTCAAAGAATGTGAGTGTTCTTTTGAGAGAGATGATGAAAAATGTACACAGTGTTATTTCAAATGATAAGGTTGCATGTTTTTTTTGTAAAAATGCCACACTTTTGTCAAAAGTCACTTTACACATATTGAGAGATCTTCCGTCAGGATATTATCTCAAATTTCTTCTTTAAAGGTACAGTCCATCATTTGCAGCTATCCAAAAAGTAACTGTTGTAATTATTGTTGAGAAACTTACATGTACATGTACTTTGTTTAAAGATACCGGTAGTATTGAAAATGTCCATTAGTATTTTTTTTTAATTCGGTGAAGCGCACGTAAGCGTTGACACGATGCACACGCACGCGTAGTTGCTATAATTCGTCGGTTCAGTGCGCGACATCGCGTAGCTGCAATCGGCTCAGTGAGAACGTGTCTCAGATGCCGAATTCAGGCCCAATCCAAAACATGATTCAGGAACTTTTGATTTGAAATCGAGATCTTAGAATGCTGTTTTTTTTTTCGGAATATACAGCATTCACTGAGCTGAAATTCATCAGGATAGTTGTTCAGCACCCTTCTTTAAGTTTTGAGCACTTTTGTTGCTTCAAACGAACAAAATGCACAAATTACAAATGATGGACGCTACCTTTAAAATCTGTCAAATTTCAGCCATTCGGAAACCTAGAAAATAAGTACATGTACATGATGTTCTTCACCGTTATTTTAATTTTTGACAAGTACAGTTTTTATTGCACGCAAATCCCGATCGCACAGCAGGTTTAGGCCGGGTAGCACGTCTAAACTTTATCGGTGCATATCGAATATTTGAATATTCGACCAAGTCCAAGTTGGCATAACCGAGTACTGAATTACTCAAAAATTCACAGCCTTAGTGCAAATGTGCACATTCCTTGCTCCGCACAATGCTTATTAATTTGTAAGGAAAAAATATTTTGTCATACTTCCTCATCAATTGTTCGGGCCTGACCTTTCAAGATTCCATAACTCGAAGGATCAAAGCCAAGTTCCCTACACTGAAAAAAATTGCAACTGGCGAAAATGCTGTTTACACTAATGTCATTGTGCATGCCTGTCATCACGTGGGAACGTTACTGTACTGGTGCGTTTAGCCATGCCTGGCTGATAGAAACTCATGCAATGAGTTATCCTGTAATCTAGAACGGTGTAAAGTCCAAGTTCGATTCTCTTGACATTTCTGTGCGGGACGTGACAAATCCTCATGGGCTGGGCACATTTCGAAATTTGTTGCCGAGAAGAGTGAGCGTGTAGCTTGACAGCACTATTTGGAACTGTTTATATCTGAGTCTACGTGACTACGGTAGTTTAAGGTAAGATGTGTACCACTTGCTATGAGAAAATGTACCTTCATAAAATGGCTGAAGTTGCTTGAACCCTGAAGAAAATGTGCAAACGATGATCATGTTCATTCAGTAAATAAGTGCACTATGTACGGTACCGGTACGTACCGGTACATGTTTCTCAGTATGTCATTGTATGTAATACATTGTACGTTAGAAATTTGTTTTTTGTAATCACATGTATGTTTGTACATATGCGTTTACGAGTTCTTATTAGAGTTTATTGCACAAAGTTGATGAGGCAAAAGCAGAAAATATGTAACTACACATACCGGTAGTTACATGTACATGTATACTGTACATAACTGTACATTTACCCAGTAATTTTCCAGTGTACTGTGATACATGTACATGTATTTAAATTGATGACATTTGTTTACTCTGATCAAATAATTTACTCACTTACGTTTAAACAAAATTACTCTGAAGATTAATTATAAAAAAAACCACCCATTTACACATACGTATACGAGATGGTTATCATGGAGGTAGAATTATTTGAAACTTAGCATTTTATTAATTAGAGGTCAAAATTTTATGAAAAATTCTTCACTTCCCATAAAAAAAGCCAAACTGACCATCGTTTCCCTGTTCAAATATCAGAAGGTTTAATTGTTTTTGTGAGTCAGTATACTTTGAAAAAACATGTACAGAGACAACATTAATAATTTGCCAATGGATTTGTGGTCTGTGGCAAAAATCTCCCTCTGTCTGGGGTTTAGTGACCATTGACCTGGGCTAGGTCCCACCATAGTCTGATAAGCCAAGCCCCCCTGCAGGTACATTGTGCGGGATGTATTCATGTGTTAGCCAGCATGTTTGCCAGTGTCTGCTACAGGTGTAATGAAATGTGTAATCAGAGGATGACTCATCCTGGCCAGACGCAAAGTAAATCTTGTTACTGGTGGACTGTATCAAAACAAAATTCAGCATATTTCACCTGGTAGACATGTACACGTATAAAATTAAGCGCGAATGAGCCTATATTGTAAAATAAACAGTGAATAATTGAAAACAAAAGCTTGAAATGTGTACCCTCATAAGTCCCCCAATATATTAATGGATTTTATATCGCAGGCTTGGGTGAAACGACCAAAGTCCGGAAAAATAAAACATGTATCCTTATTATATGCTATGCGGACTTCAGGTTTATGGAGAATATGAATTGATTTCCTCATAGAGCTGGGTCCTACAATGTACCTCTATTTAGTCTATGATCTCCTCAACCCAAAACAAATTGACACTGGTTTCCATCAACATTTTGAACTGTTTACATCAGTACATGTATTTAAAAAAAAAAGAGATTCTGTTTGCAATAATCTAAAATCGTCTTCAAAAAGTGGTGGCAAGTATGGTACAAGCTCATTCCAATTAATTGTGGAACCCAAAATTTGTAGTTCTACACACCTCCCATAGTGAATTAAAAAAAAAAATTCCTGCATTTTAAATTTTTTTTTTGAAATGGTGATGACACGTGTGCAGTATTCAAAATTCAGAAATGATTATTGTGTGGCAGAGTGTATCCTCTGCCAGGATCTGCAGGAGAAACGTAACCGTCCATCCCCCTGGCCCTTCCCCTTGGGGGGCCGCATCCTCATACAGCTGTTGATATGTGGCCAGCACACTGACGCATGCAGTGAGTTAGGTATAGGATACTGGGATGTTGCCATCGAACATCGGCCAGAGGTTCCACGTTGTCCGTTCGAGCCGGGGATCTGTAAGTGAGAGGCGAAGCTTTTTTTCCGCGTTTGCTCGCCTGACTTTCTCTGATTTTGTCTGAATCGGTGAGTTTTTGTTTGCGATTTGGCGTTAGGAGAGTCGAGTTGTTGTGGTGGAGAATCGTTAACGAGATTTTTTCAGCAGCAACAAGTTATGTGTAATTTGGGTGGGAGTGTTCACGTCGCAGGATTGTTGTTCAGATATTTTCAAGAGCAACAAGTTCTTTGGGAGAGGCTGCGGCGATGACAGTGTGGCAAGGTGGATGATAAAGAGGGAGTGACGAGTGTTGATGAGAATAGAATGTTTTAGAAAGAGGATAATGATTTCAGGAGGTGAGGGGGGGGGGGGGAGTGACGATGATGTGACTAATGATGACATAGATAGCAATTTGGAAATGTTGATTACATGCATGATGACATTCACACAAAAATGTGATGATAATTATGATGATGATTATGATTAATTTAGAGGAATGCATGGGATGGCATTTTGGTTTGAAACTGTGATGTACCGGTATGTACACTGATAATGGTATTGATGGCAAACAAACACCATTGCTGATGGAGATTACTACCGGTATGCACGTATCGGTGATGGTAGTGATGACCTTGTTGAGGACAATGACAGGAAGATGACACTAAAACCTGTAGTAACAGGCTTTATTCACGAGTCGGCCATACTAAATTGAAATTGAGGTAAAATCATTTTTGGAACTTGGGAATAGAAATGAAAGCAATGACATAAAGTTAATTACAAATTAATGCCAGTCTGATAGTTAAAGGGAAGATACAACATTTGCAAACATCACAAAACGAAATGATCAAATAATCACGAAATACCTTACTAGATTGTTAGGGAATGACAGTCTAAAGCATCCTGTAAAATTGTGGCTCCTGGTGTGCTGACATTTTCAAGAAAAATTGTATTTTTCCAACGCTGGTCGGCCGACCAGCGTTGGAGAAAACTTGCTTTTTTCAAAAACTGCTGCTAATTTTTCAAAATTAGTTATCCCGCGTTTTCTTTGCAATTGATTACACACCTGTGAAGGGGTACAAGCCAGCTAGACTGATTCTCTGGCCTTACGAAGTCTATAAATTGCTCCGTTTCATCTTAAGTGGGGTCAGGGAACCAGACTACAAAACATGATTGGTTTTCCCAGCATCTACAAGCCCAAAACGTGAAACAAGTCATTTTAACAATATTTTCTATAACATACTGGTACTAATCCTCCAAATCCATTTATTTCTGAAAATTGCAGCAAAAGCAAATGTTGTACATTCCCTTTAAAATTTGTGATTTACACGTATGTTATAAGCCACAAAATGAAATTGAGGCTTGGAATGCATAAATAGTCTGGCACCATCCCATTCAACAGTTTACAATATGTATAAAATACATTCAGTGAACACGAAAAAAAAATAAGGATTCCTCATGAATAAGGTCCATAGTGGCCATGGCAAAGTTATTTGTTGAGGATGAAAGTGCTCTGTTCATTGAGCTGATGGCGATAATGGCTGCAGGTAATTTGTTCATTAAGCTAATGGAGCAAAGGGCTGGTCAGATAAAAAATACTTGATAAGTTACCGTAGTTTGCAGGTTATTATGTAGATGATGGTTTTGTATGATTGTAAAACATTCAAACAGTACTTGTTTATTAAACTGAGTTGCATTAATACAGGGTGAGTATAAAAAGTGAAACCCAAATGGTAGGACCAATTTTTGAATGAAGTTTTACCTGTAGCACTTTCAAATCTAAGTTATAATAAAAGCCCAATTATTTAAATGAGCTTTCTTTTAGTACAAAAATCATTCAAATCAATCATGTACTTTTCAAATTACGGAATTTTGAACACAAACACCTTTCTGTCAAAAGGATCACAAGAAAAGGTGAGTGTTCTTTCAGCAAAATGAAAATAATTCATGCATCCCTATGAGAATTGTTTTCGTTTGGCTGAAACTGAAAGAACACTTACTCTTCGTGATCCGTGGACAGAACTTTAAAACGGTGTTTGTGTAAAAACATTCTGTAACTTGAAAAGTACATGAGAGATTTGAATGATTCTTTCTAAACGAAAGCTTAATGACTGGGCTTTCATATCATAGATTTTGAAAGGGATACAGGTAAAAGTTCATTCAAAAACTGGTCCTGCCATTTGGGTTTTTTTTTCTTTACTCGCCCTGTAGCGTACAAACGTAGAGTTACATATGTCAATTGTCTATAGTTTACATATTTTTTGGCAGTTTTAATTGTACAACTTTATATGAGGTCTCTGGTCAAAACTTTGTACCACAGTACCAGTATTTTGTTTGCGCATCAAATTACTGAACAGTGTGGAATTGCTCATACATTTTCAAGTTAAGCTTCCTGGAAAACAATTCTCAGTACCGGGTATTTGTGTAGTTAGCGCTGGGGCTTGACCTGGTATGCCGGTAGCTGCAGGATGCTTTAGATAACAATTGATCCTGCAAAGTTCACACACCGTGACCGGTGATAGGCATACCTGGTATATATTAGAAAATATTGATGGTACGTGATGATAGTAAATACCACTGAGCACAGTTGACCTTCACCGCTTCCAGTTCAATATTTTAATGGTGAGTTCACCTGGTTTATTACTGTACATTTCTGTATGCCGTAGTTTAGTGACCTGGGACATGTATTTCATGGAACTGCCAACCAAATACTGCTTAGCAAGTGTTTAATTGTGCTAAGTAAATCCAAAAGAGTACATAATTGTAAAGTACATCAGATTTTACAGGTAAGCCTTTTTTATTTTTCAAATCAAACAGCTTAGCACTTTTCTTGGGTGATGTACATGTACAGTGTACATGTACGTGCATCAGGTACAGGTACAATGTGCATACAAGTGCACATTGTACAAATGTACGGGCTTCATGATTTTTTTTGGGGGGGGGGGAGGGGGTATTATTTATTTGCACTATGTAAGTGGAGCTCAGATAAAAATTCATCATATAAAAAATTCACTCACAGCTGTCTACTAATGCATTTAGTGTTGATATTAAAAAATTGTGTCATGCAAGCTCTTTTTGGATGCACAGTATCATTGAGCAAGCTAGGCTCTATACATGTATGCTACATGTTGTAGTTTTTTTATGAAACAAATATGACATACATGTATCGGTGCCCAGTCAGTATGTGTGGACGTACAATGTAGCAGTACATTCTCATACATGTACCCGGTACCTGCCAACCGTCCCCGGTTCATCCCAATTTGGAGGTTTTGAGATGGAAAGATAACAGAATGTTCTGATCAGTGTTTCCCCTGCCCATTCAAACGTGAGGTGGCCCACCTCGCTACTTTCAGTGACCACCTCGCTCAATTTTTGCCAATATCACCACCTCGCTGTGAAGATTGGCAAAAAAGGAAATATCAATTGAAAAATTTTCATTTTGTGTAATATATGAGCATTTTCCTTTACCTCCATGTACCGGTATCAAGAACTCACAATTTCGATGTGCTTTTGGATGAGCGCTGCATTCTTTCAGTTTGCAGACTGCGTAAATTTTGTTTCAATCATCAACTTGAATTGTTACCACCTCGCTCAGTTCAGTAGCCAGGGGAAACACTAGTTCTGATTTCTGTAAAATAGGGGGGAATTTAACAGTTTTCACCCAATTAGTTTATAGTCACCATAATCATAATAATTTCTTGATCACTCTTGGAAAACGACTGCATAAAAGAGTGCATCAGAATTATAAAATCAAAGATGTCAGATGTAACAGGGACAGGGAAAAAAGTGGACCCCAAATTTATAGAATGACCCCTGTGGCCTGTGTAACGAGACCCAGGATGAAACCATTTTTGTTCGCCCCATATTTTTTGCAGGTTTAAAGGGTCTCTTTCACCGCAAGAAGGAAAATGATGCGGCGCCCCCTATCATAGAGATCTCGGCCCACAACCAGGAGCCCGATGTGCATCCCGTCTCCTACGCGCAGAACATTTACAACCCGCCGGTCCGGCCCAACGCGTTCAACCGAGTCCTGCAGCAGATCCGGTCCCAACCAGCTATGCTGTAAGTTGCGTGGAGAATTAGTGCTGGTCCCAGAGGGCCAGACTGGTGTATTAATTAACCCTAACCTTCCCAAATCCTCCAAAATCCCTTTTGTAAAATGTAGGATTTGGCAGAATCGAGGCTACAGGTACCGTACATGGCAAAAATTTGAGGCTGATTTTGGATGATGCACTGTGTCTCGGTCTTACGACAATTGTTAAATATTACATAGAGTGAACATGAAAATTAAAAAAATAATAATTGAAAACCATGCATCCGAACAATAAACTCCAGATAAGTCAAAACATACTTTTGAGGTAATTGAAAATTTCAGATTCTGTGAACTAAATGAAATGCTCTACAAGTATGATTTTGTACAATTCATCTGTCACACCACGAAGTGACGTCTTGTTTGAACAAAGTCCACAGAAAATCTGTCACTCTGTGGTGTACCCGACGATTGGTTTCAACATCAGCGCATTCTTAAAGTACAGGCACATACATGTACATGTACTGTATGTGCACAATATATTTTTTTTAAACCTGTAAGAAATGTCATAAGAGAAGAGTACAGTTTTACAAAAATCCAATCAGCAGTTTTCACACTCAATCTAATTTTGCCTGTCTGCGGTTTAAATCAATCGCAGCGGACGACTCTTTAGAACATACTGAACACGAAGTTCCCCCAGAATTTGTTCCCCGAGGCCAAATGGTCAATCAATGCGGCAGGTCTATCACATGGCAAAGACTGGTAATTTATTGGCACAGACACTAAAATTAATCAGAATTTTTTTTCCCTGCCAAACGGACAGGGATTAGGTTCTTGAAATGCCACAAGTTCGTGATCATTTTATTATCATCTTGAATTTTTTCCTTTTCTTGGCTGGCTAATTTTTCTTCGGTCAGTAACTGACCGGAGCGGGTTGTAGATTCCTTCAGTTCCAAGAACGGAATTTGTCAGGGAGGGGGGGCTTTTTGTAAGAAGGCGTTGATAAAACAGTCAGTATTTCCATAAAACTGTGGTTAATCGTTAACGAGATTATCAGTCGACGGGGCCAACGTCTGACAGAACCGCGATCGAATTCCGAAAATTCTGTATGAGCTTTCGAAGAGCTTGATTATGTGTGACTAATGAAAAACAGAGACAGACGAATTAAATGGGAAATGTTTTTGAGGTGAGTCATTCATTTGCTTGATACATCTAAAAAAAAATATGTTTGAAAATGTGTCTTTTGGTAATATTGTGGTTACCATATTTTTTGGATGGTTTTTAACTTAAAGGGAAAATACAACATTTGCAAACATCAAAAATAAAATGACCAAGTTTTTATGAAATACCTTACAGGATGTTGGTAAATGACAGTCTAAAGCATCCTGTAAAATTATGGCACCTGGTGTGAAGTCATTTTCAAGAAAATTGTATTTTTGTTTACATTTCCAACGGTGGTCGGCCGACCACCGTAGGAAAAACCCAACTATTTTTCACTACTGCTCCAAATTTACCATTTTTTCAGTCCAATTTTGTTAGCTAATTGGTTTTATGTTCATGAATTGGTGCAGGTCAGCTAGACTGGTTCCCTTAGCGTACAATTTTCCGGCATTTGTAAATTGATCCATTTCATCTTCAGTGAAGTAAGGGAACCAGACTACTTGAACATTTTTGTTTTTCTTGGTTTTTCCAGCATTTTCGAAAACTAAACTTCAAACATGTCAGTGTAACAATAAGTTGATCTATTATACTAACCCCTCAAATAGTTCATTTTTGAAAATTAAAGCATAAGCCAATGATGTACATTTCTTAAAGCCACCATTTTAGTTTTTTGTGGAGAGAAGCTCTATATTTATTCATAAAAGAGATGCAGCATAGATCTGGTTGACAAAACTCAATTTTTGTTAATATTTATCAATTGGCCAGTGTTACTTGGTACAGAATTCACATTTCACTGTTTGTTTTGTTGTGGTTTTATTTTCAAAGTCATCCTCTATAAAACTTCTTTAGTGTTTTTTTGCTGATAGGAATACTCATACATAAACCGGGTTTATATTCGTCTAGAGGTTGGAGAAATCAGAGATTTCAAATTTCGGAAATCCTAATTTTGTTTCAAAGCGAATAATGGTAACTTGATTTCAACGGAAGTTCCCATCCAACTCACAGTCATGGCAACAAAAAGTGACGAGTGAGGTGCTGCATGCAATGCCCCCCCAATGACTGGGGATAGTTTGCAGGATTTAATGACCACTGGGCCTTTACAAAAACACTCCAGAGCTAATGTTGAAAAAAAAATAGATGGGAACTCTCTGATAAGTCGAATGAGCAGGCTATTCATATACATGTACCAAGAACACCACTAGCAAGTGGATGAAGTAACAATCAGAGACCATGGAAAAAATTGAGGATGTTCCAGTTGGTTTCTTCAGCCTGTTTCACAAAAAAAACCCAAAGGCTTAAATTTTTATAAGGTTGTCGGCAAATATCCGGTTTTCCAAAATTGAAACCAAATATAGTGGAATTCAAAACCGAATTTTAAAAAATCCGGATTGAAATCCCATCACTTGTATAAATTGAAGACACTAAAAGCCTCATACATTTATATTGTGTCGTAATTGACCTTGAGTTGTATCCAAGAAAATATGGGCAAAAAAGGTAAAATGGGTCTCCAAATGCATCGTTGTCTCTCTCTTTGTCTCGTTGTCTCTCTTTTTGTTAAAATTTGGCATTTTGGCACTGACAGCTCAAATTACAGTCAATTTACAGATAGGACATTTGCAAATGTCATTTACCCGTTACTCTGCAAAGTGGTCTGGAAAATGCCCTGTTGTCTTCATCAGAAATCCCTGAATGGCCGTGGATTGTCAACGCAATGAAGCTCCTGTTTGAAGACATGCGCTGGAATTCTGAAAACAACCAAACACAGTTGGCAATATTGATGCTTCCATTAAGTTAAAATCAAATTTTCCATTAGGAAACAAAAATGAAGAAACGCACCAAAGCTTCACTCCAAAATTCCCTAATTTACCTTGACAATGCTTTTAACAAATTCTTTTTTTAGTTTTCTATTTTCCCTAAAATTTCAGTCCCTTCGCAGGATCTATGAAAATGGTAAGCTCACAGGCTAGATTTTTGATCCAAATTCTGTCTCACAATGGTTGGTTTTTAAGACCACAATTCCCATTTGGGACCTTGTTGCCTTTCTAGAAAGTTCCTGTGGTACTCCCACTGACGTGAGCTGCCATGTTTTTTATGATTTTTTTTTACACCTTTTTGGCCTCAAATTTCAATTCCCGTTGCAGGACCCGCGTAAATAACAAGCGCACCGGAGAGTTTGTCGATCCCAATTCTATCCCACAATGCCTTGTTACCGGAGACTCCATAGTTGGCTTTTAAGATTAGCATTCCCATTTGGGGACTTGTGCCCTTTCTAGGCAGTTCCCAGTGGTCACTACGGCTGACGCACGTTCCCATTTTCCACTTGTTCCCACGAAACCTCGACAAAGTTTAGCAGCAGTGGTTTATTTCATTTACGCAGCCTTGTGATTGAGACAATATCAGGATGCACTTGTCAGTTTTAAGCTTTGCACGTGACTGTACACACTTCACATGGTACTACATGTATCAGTGAAGTGAAAATAACGGTAATCGTTATCTTTAGGACACCTCTATTTTTTTACGAGTTCTGTTTAAAACTGACTTTTGCAGATGACTGTCCAGTACCAAAGTGACTTTTGCAGGCTAAAGCAGTCTTTTTTTTCTTCAGATAAACTCATGTTTGTTGTAATTTTGAAAGCACTTTCAAGAAAATGTGACTTTCCCGCCTTTTTTGCAATGAAAGCCGGATGCTGATTTTAGTGCTTAAAAAAAAAAATAATTTTTTTTTATCAGCCAATCAGCATCGAGCTTTCATTGCATCTAGCTTTCACGTTTGCCATCTTGGTTTTGGAGTCTGTTTTCTGGTCATCTATTACCCCTTAATTTCCCTCATAAAATCAAAGCCCTGCCCTCTTTCCACAAAAGTAATCCTGCTGATATTCAGGAAGGTGTCATTACCAACTGTTCAAATGTGTCAAGAAATATCAGAATGTCACTTTTGAGTGTCATTTAGTGAATCTTTTAACCTGATATAATGGGGTCCTAAAGATATTGGATTACCAATACTATCTCGGGTGTATTGCTATATCAGTGACTTCCACTTTATATGCAACTTTCCACTACAGAAAAGGAATTGCTATCTTATTCATGCCTAGTGGCAGATGTGTGCAATGTTTGAAACTTACACAACTTTCAATCTTTTCAATCCTTAAACATCTTCAACAATAAAGTTCAAACAAATAGCCTTTCTTAATCTACGATAATTAAGTTAAAACATAATTGTGATTGTGAACATACCTGTTGTAGAAAAAATGATGGAATGTTCAGGCCTGACAACTGAAACTTTACACTTTTAATTGAGTGCACTTTTGAATTATCAGTGGCCACTCCCCCAATAGCGCCCTCTGTTGTCCTGGCCACAGTCACATTTTGTTTTCATTCAAGATAAATGTTCTGAAAATAAGAATATTTTGTTTGTATTGGATAATGCATCCAGAAGAGCACTTGGCAAGAATAATTTTCTTGAAGTGTTAAATATTTTGAAAAATATTTTGGGAACATTACCAGATTTTCCCAATTAATTTCTTAAAACAACATAAATGTTAGCTAACTTTAACTTTATTTTTTAGAAATTGAACTGTTTTAAGAAAGAAACTTGTTTTGTGCTTTTGAAACAGGAAATAATTTTCTTGAAGTGTTAAATATTTTGAAAAATATTTTTGGAACATTACCAGATTTTCCCAATTAATTTCTTAAAACAACATAAATGTTAGCTAACTTTAACTTTATTTTTTAGAAATTGAACTGTTTTAAGAAAGAAACTTGTTTTGTGCTTTTGAAACAGGAAAAATGTTCTTGTGCTCAGAAAAACTCTCCTGCTCAAGAAATTAGTTTTTGGTATTGTTTGAAATCATGTTCTCACTAAGGAAAAATATTCCTAAAATAGGGAAAATATTCTTGAAATTGGAAATTTACAACAACAAAAAAGAACTCGTGTACGAAAAATTTTCTTAATGTTTTAAATAGCCAAAATTTTCGGAAAATTTTCCTTTTAAAAAATATGATTTTCTCATGACATTTCTCAGAACAAGAAATATATTCTTTATTCAATGTTAGTTTTCTTGCTTAAGAAATTCTTTTTTGGCTGTGTGCTGTCAATTTCAACCCCACCCCCAAAAGTTTTTTCTTTTAATTTTTTTGGGTTGCCCCTAATTAAGGGCAGGGATAAACAATTGGATGAAACTAAATAACTGGACAATTAAAAAACATACCCCAATTTTTTTTTTAAATTAACTTCTCCAGTTTCAGGGTAATGTAGAATAGGCATTTCATATAATCAGCTTGATAGAGATACAATGGGTAATTCTTTATAATTCCAAGATTTTTGTACCAAAACGAAAGTCTACTGATTTAAATGTCATTGCATGTACGACCTATTGACATGATGTACTGATTTTAACCTTCGGCCTACACCGTATTTTACCATTTCTATTTGGAGAGCAAACTGTCCAGTCATGACAGAATGACAATAATAGATAGTAACCCCCCCCCCCCAAGAAACCCCCCGCCCCCCAAAAAAACAAAGACAACAAACGTCTCATGAACTGTTCAAACTTGGTTCCTTCATTCACCCATCTCCCAAAACTTGGCTATGTGCATGATGTAGAATTGTTTTCCAAGTTTGAGACAAGTATACATGTACATCCCCCCCTCCACCACCAAAAAAAAAAGCAGGCATACAGTAAGCTCCTGGCACGAAAACAGAGTTTGTGATCCATGCATCCAGCTGAAAAAAGTCCACGATACACGTAATCGCAGCGAAGCGCACACAGTCTGACAGTGACGCAGTAGACGGACGTTACAAGACAAGCAGAAACAGACAAGAACAAACAAACAAGCCACACGACGTCCTGTATGTACTGAGGTGTCCGATTTCTCCTTCTCCGGATTGGCTTACCCAGCAGTGGGGAAGATTAGGTTCCCTGGTTGACTTGAATTGCAAGCGGGGGAAATTGGATTTTTGCCAAATGAACTTACGCTTGTTGCATATGTTTAAGTGTTGGAGTTATGTTAAACTTCAGTTCCAAGATTTATTGAAGTTCAGTTACTTACATGTATAAACTACAGGTATGTATGTATGTATGGATTTGATACACCGTGCCCTCTGGAGACATGCACACAATAGGGAACAAAAGATCGTATACGTCTCCACAGGGCAATTTCTATAGATAAATACGTCTCCACAAGGTTATCACGAAATATGTATATGGACTTTACTCAAAAACTAGGAATTTCCAAGGTATGTTGATGGGTCGCAAATGGAAGAGTTTTAGAAAAGGGAAATTAAGTCAGAATTTCAGCCAAGGAAATTAATTTTGGTTATAGAAATAAGAGCATTTTGAAACTACCCTTTCAAATTCGAAAACTTTACTACACGAGAACAAAGAAATGTCTCCACAAGGATACAAATTTCAGTATGCGTGTTCATACATGTAGTTGTAGTAGACTGCACAAGTAGAGAAAATTTGACATCTAGAAAGAGGGCCTATCGTTCCAATCTTGGCAGGATGGTCAAAGGCACTGAGATCCCGCTAGGGCCACTAGAATCGAAATGTAAGGCTTTTTAACTTTTATCTATTTCAGGTTAATCCAGTCAGTTAGAAGTCTGCAGCAGTTTTTTTATTCATTTTCAAAATTTGAAATCATGAAACATCTGCCGCAAAATTCACTCGGGCTGAAATTTGTTTGAGTTTTTGTGAATTTAGTGTGTGAAAACTGCCCGTGCTATCAGAAATATTCACATTTTCATTAATGCATAACCAGAAACTATGTTTGTACAGTTATGCCAATATTTGAATAATATGCTCTGTCTGGCGAGCTGACTCAGTTTATTTTGAGGACAGACAATGCTCTCAAAACGTCTGACTTTCTATTGGTTGACATGGCTTTAACTACTTAAAGTTATACTGCCTTTAAAAGAGTTGTTGACCTACATTGTACATGTACGGTACATGTACATGTGCATGTAATTTATGTACAATGTCTTCAGGTTCAAATACGGTACTACATGTTGAATTCATTGAGTATGACTACATATCGGTAAATGACGTTGACCTCACATCAAAGGTCATGAGGACGACAATAGGCTTGCCGTTCTGAGACTCTTTACCAGTTTTTCCAAACCACGGCTTTATTCTGGCTTTGGCATCAGAAGAATGTACCGGTAGACCCATACTCATATAAACTGTACAGTACATGTATGTTGTATTTGAATCCATATTCTGTTTAACCTACAATATAAAGTCAACATTTGGAGCACATTTCCATTTGGTTTGGACATAAAGGTCTTCTCAATGATTCTGAAGCCGAAGTCAGAGACGAATCCGAGATTTCAAAAATGGCCATGTGTGCACATGGGGATTGTATTGGAAACTGTACATGTCAAAGTCACAGTTGAAGCCTAGATTTTGAAAATGGCCAAACATGTTCATATACATGTATTGAAAACTGTACATGAACATGTTTTTATCTCCCATTTGTAAAATCAGGAGGCGAGCTTCGGAGACCAAAGTCCCCTCCAACTCCAAGCTGACGTCCATGCGGACGCGGTCGGATGGCAGCGACAATGACAAGGAAGACACGGGGCGTAAGAAGGGTTCCAGCTTGCCCCGGGACGTGGAGATGAGGGCGCGGGCGGAGTCGGCCCGGCCGGCTACGAAGGAGGACCAAGTCGACTTTGTACATGTAAGCTTTATTCCACCATTTCCTAATTTTAAAGTTGAACAAAGAAATTGGCGAGATTTGTTGGTATTTCATTGGCCTTTCCCCAAAACGCTTCAGGTGTTGTAATGGTGAAAAAACTGGACGGGAACTCTTTGATCAGTCGGCTGAGCATGTAATCTTGAACCAAGAAGACCATCAGCAAGTGAATGTGGCCACAATCAGAGACCATGGAGTAAATCGGGGGATGTTCCAGATACCATCTTTAGCTTGTGTCACAAAAAATATGGAAAGCTTTAATTTTTTTTTTTAAGGTTGGTTTCGAATATCCGGTTTCCAGAATCCAAACCGAAAAGTGGGATTCAAACTGATTTTTCAAAAATCCGGATTTTGATCCCACCACTTGTGGCTGCATTAGTATAGAGCAAAATCCATTTCCATGAGGCAGCATGGCATGGCATGCCCAACAGAGGGCGCTGTAAGCCACTACCATTCCTAAGACATGGGTGTTTACATAACACCAAACCCAGACACCAGACACAAAACTATTTAATCCCTTGACATTTCCTTGTACACTGTGTAAGTGTCAACGTACTGTGCCGAAATCAAAGAATAACTTCCTGTGCCTAGGGTACATCAGTCAATCGGACCCAGAGGAATTTTTGTTGTTTCTTTTTCCTTTTAACGGGTCACCGTCACCAACTGCATTCTTTTCTGTGGAAGGCTTTGGTTTGTACCGTACTTTATATGTCTTCTTTTTTCCTGTTCTTCATTTTTCGGTCACAATTTTTAAATATTCCTCTTTTTTTTACCAGTTAATTTTTAATACCATTTCCTTTTCCACTGTGTTAATTACTTGAGCTATTGTTTTGTCTTTCTACATTGAAGACAAGTCTGGTACGATTATCAGATGGCAAAGCCCGACCACGTTTTTGGAATTTCAAATTCTCTGTTTCACTGGTATCAGTTACAGGTGTAGAGATAATGTATTCAGCAGTTTATTCGGCCAGTCTCTTCAGTGCTTGTTGGCTAAGAAAATGTACATGTGTACATGACACATGTACATATATTTGCATTACTTTTGGCCCTTATCTGTAGAACCAATCCAAACATGTATAACTTTACATGTACCGCACATTTACATGTACATGCATTGAACTTAACCCTCCTGCTATCTGAACAGTCACAGACAGTCAAAAAAATCAGTCCTCTTCTCCCGCCATGCCTTTTACACCGGCTGTAGTCACCAACATATCATATTACAAACAAGCACTGTGACTAGTCAAATTCAGTCAACCGACAAAAGCAGGCCAGACGTAGGCACAGCTGGCTTATCAATCACCTACAGTCGAAGCATAGCTGTATCAAGTTACATAAACAGTCACAGCCAGTCAATCCTGCTTTATGTACAAATGTAGCCTGTTTTCCATGTACATGTACATGTATGGTACATGTACATTTTTCAATTTTTTTTTAATTTCTTTTTGAAAAAAAAGAGAGTCCCTTTAATACCTTGAAAACCATCGGACGCTGGCCCAGATATTACTTCAGGAAAAACAACATCCTGGTGAAATATTCCAATCGCCCTTCCCATTGGAGCAGACCATATCATGTGGTCCACGTACGACAACAGCGTGCCGTCCTTTATTCACGGAAGAATGAACACTTGCCGGTATTTTGGGCCCATTTCGTCATGTCCAGTTCACTTTCGAGGAAAGTTGCAGCCCTGTCAGGACATCTTCTGGATATTTGGGATTTAGACACTTTGCCGTTCACTTGCGATCCCCAGTTTGGATGATTAGTGTGTTCCCTCATAACGTGATAGTCTTTTGGAAGAAGTGCTGTTGTTGATTTTTTTGTGGTCTGTAATGTGACCTGGTGAATATGGGTTTGGGATTTCTGGTAGCCATCAACTCTCCACTGTTCAACAGGAAGGTAAATACATGTACCGGTAACTATCGGAATTTTCTGGTCTGAAATGTTTTCTTTCTATGAATAACCCACCAGGGTGTGCGATGCATAAAGTGATTCTTTGCTACAATCGAGTGTCATGGCCTAGCGGTTAAGAGCACCGCACCGGACTCATGCTCTGGTGTTTCAGAGGCAGCAGAATGTGGGTTCGAGCCCGGGTCTGCCTGGACACTTGTGCCCTTAAGCAAGGCACTTAACCGTTATTGCTTCGTCCTTCGGATGGGATGTAAAAACGTACTGGTACCGTAGGTCCCGTGTGTTGTGTAATGCAATGCATGTAAAAGAACCCAGTAACACTTATTGCTAAAGAGAAGGGGTTTTCCCCAGTGTTTCTGGCCTCATGTTAAAACTCCCCTGCGGAGTATTTAGGAGAAGAACCAACCAAGTACCAAGTACATCTTTCTTTCCTTAGTATTATTTGTATTTGGTAAGGATACCAAAAAATTGATTTTGGCACTGTAGCTGGCAAGCCTGAAGAAGATGCAAGATAATTAATGAAGAATTTACAGTTTTAGAGGTGGGAGGAAAACCCCAGAAGAATATTCTGGGAAAACCCACAGAATCATGTCACTGGCAGGATAGTGGACAATGCATGGACAATGGGAAAGTGGACAATGTCCACATTTGGACCAGGGCAGGAATTGAACCTGGGCCATAGAGGTGGAAGGCGAGGAAAGAACCCTCCCCCACACTTTTCCCCCACTCTGTCGATATTGCAGGACACATGAGCTGAATTGACGCTTTGTGCAACTTGCAATTAAAGTTGCGTTCATCTCTTCACATCTAAGGGTTTGTGCACAAATGTCTGTGGATGCCATACCTTTGTGCAGACTACATGTGGCTGTGTATATGCATGGACACAAATTTGACACCTCAATAGAGCCCGTTATTTATACCTGAAAGCGAGCCGTCTTCATTCTTGTTGACTAAAAAGTCCTGCCTTTGGTACTCACGGTCATGGCTTTTGCTCGCTATGCCACCCAGCAGAATTTTCAGGTTCAGGTTAATTTACTTGTCGTCTTCGATTTTCCACACAGCTCGCACACACCCAGACCGACACCACGCTGTGCCACACCCCCAGCTATGGCTCCGACATGGAGCAGCAGGACGAGACGGACAGCGTCACCTCCCCGGACCCCCACCGGACCAAGTTCCTCATCGAGCAGACCCTGGCCAAGATTGACCGGACCAAAGAGGCCATGAAGGCCGAACAAATTGCAAAAGACGGTAAGATGTCGGGAAAGATTTAAGTATTAAAAGGGAACGAACCTGTGTTCACAGGAACGGAGTGCCATCTCTCATTCGAAGCGATTGGGCCAGACTCTACTGTGGGGATCGCCACACCTCCTCCACGTGCGAGTCTGTTACCTTCCCAGCATTGAATAATGCCGGTACCCATTTAACACCTGGGTTGAGAGGAGTAATTGAGGTAAAGCGCCTTACTCAAGGGCACAACACACATGGCCACGGCGGGGCTCGCACCCACAAGTATCGGTGCAGTACTTAATTTGGATTTTCTTTCCCTAGTGCAACCTGTCAATGGCGATCAAGCGCAGTCAACGATAAAGGGCGGTATCTACATGATGAGTCAAGTCCCGTCTCGGGAGCTTGACAATTTGCCTCAAAACTTAAGTACATTTGGAAAATTAGAATCCTTATTCTTTATTCCAGAAAATGTGACCGAGTACCTGAAGCTGTCGGCCCAGGCCGACAAGATCCAGATGCAGCGCATCAAGACCGTCTTTGAGAAGAAGAACCAGAAGTCCAACGCCACCATCGCCCACCTGCAGAAGAAGCTGGAGAACTACCACAAGAAGCTGATTGAGCTGGAGACCAACGGGGCGGTGGGGCCCAGGAGGCCCAAGGAGGTGTTCCACGGGATGCAGCAGGGGCTGAGGTAAGAGGGTTGACGGGATGTATGGGGGTATGAGAAGGGTTGATTAAGAAGCTGGCTGGTTGGGCATAGGAGACCCAAGGAGGTGTTCCATGGGATGCAGCAGGGGCTAAGGTAAGAGAGTTGATGAGGGGTGTATGGGGGTACAAGGGGGTAAGAGAAGGGTTGATTAAGGGGCTGGCAGGGCATAGGAGGCCCAAGGAGGTGATCCATGGGCTGCAACAGGGGTTGCGGTACTGGTACATGTAAGGTTTATGGAGGAAGTACCGGTACAGATAGAATTAGGTTACAAAAAAGCAAGTCAAAAGCGAGCTCCAATTTATTCATGTTTTTACTTTTCAATTCTAGTTACTAACCATCTTATCAAGATACTTACCATCAAGATAAATTGAATATGATGGTTCTCAACCTGTTGAACAGTTTGCATAAATTAAATGTGATGAATTTTTCGAACTTTTAAACAGGTTTTAACCTGAATAAATTGGCTATTAAAAGTCAACCAATCAGATGACAAGGATTTATTCAGGTGTTATATAAAACAAATAATGAATGTTTCATGTTCGTGCAATGGTAAGAATAATTTCATGAGGTGACAGATGAAATGTTCCATTCCACGAGGCGATCTGTCACCTCATGAAATTATTCTTACCATTGCACTCGCCGAGTGGAATGGAACATTTCATCTGTCACCTCATGAAATTATTCTTATCATTGCACTCACAAGCATTCATTATTTGTAGGCCTATACTATCACACGCTGGCACTGGGTGAACTTTCAGCAAGTCCTTTCTATTGTTAGTTGACCAATGTGGATTTGCATAGTCTGCTTCAGGGTTGGTAATTTGCACACAGTGTACATGTATGATGTGACATTCTATCACTTCATTGAGGCTTACAAGCACAAGCCAACTTACAAATTGAATTGTATTCGTAACTTGAATAGTCATTGTAATTACAAATGTATTTTCTCACATTTTAAAGAATTTCAGTGTCGATAAGCCCTACCAAGGGGCTAGGATTAATATCATTATCAAAATGTACATGTACGGTGATTATTGTGCAACCTTTCTTCCGAACAATTGTTTAGACACAATGCTTTCCTGTTCATGGCAGGATAGTGTCTGACCTATCTAGATTTCCGTGGGACAGTCCCTGACGAAATCAAAACACAGGAAATTTGTGAAATAGGAAAGGAAAAAGTCCAGTGCAAACATGGTGGGCATGCGAGGGAAATTCCACAATGACCTATGAACAAAGGCAATGTTGCACAAATTATCCATGGGTGCCTTGGTCATTTGAGCAATATTTTTTGTTGCGAGAAATTAAAATGATGTCATTTTTTTCTATTTCAGGGGAGTAAGAGACAACATCAAGGAAGGCATTACCGGGTTTTCTGGGTAAGTTGCTTACATGTATAAACAGAAAAATTGTAAGAAATACAGGAATTGAAATACATGTACAAAAAGGCCAATTTAAACATACTGCCCAATACAACCTTAACCCTAACCTTCCTGAATCCATCAAAATCCATTCCCCGATTTGGGGATTTTGGTAGGCAAGCCATGATAAGTCCATCAAAATCCACCTATAGTAGTGGTGGTCTTGTGGTGGATTTCAGCGGATTTGGTCCTAAAGCATTAATGTTTTTATCCTCTTTCCTTGGCTTAAAGAACTGAGAATATCCATTTCTCTTTAAGAATGCTTCTGGTTGGAGACCGAGAGAGCAAAATGGGGGTAAAGTGGCTTGCCCAAGGACACAACAATGGCCAGCAGCAGGTTTTCAATCCCCGACCCTCATACCATGAGTTACAAACCCTAACCACTTGGGAACATTTTCCCAATCATTGGAAATTTGAGATTAAAAAGAACCCTCTCGCAGTACAGTGCAACAGTATCAAAGCAACTCAAGAATTCAAAATTATTTTCCCGCAATTTTTTTCCCGCCCATCTGACGATCAGGGGCATGGCCGATCGAATCGGGGGAGGCATCTCCGGACTCACGGGTCTCACGCAGAGCGCCGCTAGGTGTGTATCTATGGTAATCCCTGCACTGATGGAGCCATAGCAACCATTTCCATGGCAACCAGCAAGCCATATACAACACGTACATAATAGGGTGCTATTTAAATCCATAGTTACCTTGCTTGCAATTCAGTTTATAATTTTGGCATCATATCATTTTTTTTCACAAATCAAAATAGACTCTGAAAATAGATTCTTCTCATATAACATGTAGAAGTCTTTTTCCCATCTCCTTATTAATGCATTTCGCGCAAATACATTTCTTTTTTGCAGGATAAGTTTCGAAGAACTTGTAGAATTTCACTCTATCTTTAGCTTATCATGGAGCAATGTACATGAAGCAGCGAATATGTAATTAACAGTGTGCGCACTGATCTGTGCACAATGCACTAACTTTTTTTAACATCAGCTTATTTCTTTTTGCAACCATGTTGTTTTTCTCTGTGACTGGTACCTTCACATAACATGTTTCTCATGCATTCCTTGTTACATGTGATAGTCGGGATGCCAGACCTTGTAGTTTCACGTCATGTACATGTATGCATATATTTTTCAGCATGTTACATATACATGTAGTTATATGTAAAGTTCCCAACTTGAAATATTAGAAATGACTGCACTGTGTACGGTAAATGAACGTGTACATGTACACCCCATCATGCTTTGCAAGATCTCATCTTCTGAATTGACTGCATTCACAAGTTTAAAAATGTGGTTTAATAGGACAATGTGTATATGTGTAGATGACCACAAAGATACTGCGATGGGTACCAGTTTTTCAAAACCAGCAGCCAAATACCGAGGATTCATTTATAACTTAATACATTGCATTTTATTTTGTTGACTGGCCTGTGCTTTTTTGTTTTGTTTCTGTTTTTATATATTCCCTTCAGTCTAGTTCCAAATTTTTTTCTGTTGTTCATTAGCTGCAGTTGAGCACATTCAGGAATGCCCAAAAGTAAAATTTGCGACCGGCTCCACAAAAAAGGGTATTATGTAGAAAAAAAGTGAAATTGAGTTATATGGTTGGAAAGCCCACAACGTAAGCTTTCATTTTGTATAAAATAGAGCTCCATAGCCCCTCCCGTTCTGGAGATGACATATTTGCATATTAATTACTTCCTTGAAGTTCAAATTACACAACTGAGAAAACAGGCTTTGAAATAACTGGCTTTGTTGTAGAACAACAGAACGATGCACACAAAATGGTTGTTTTTCCCATTTTCTTCATCACAATCAACATTTCTGTGAAAGAAACCTGAAACTGTAGGTATTAAAGATGTCATTCATGACACAAAATGAAAAATTATTTTTGACGAAATTTTCACCCCCTCAATGTTGAGTGGACCATTACACAATAATGCACAGCGCGACTTAATACCCTTTTTGTTGTTGAGCCGGTCACATTTGTTTTTGCTGACTTTAGGACAAGTGTGTAGGTATCAAACCTTCAAGCCGTCTCGTCTTTTGTGATGGATTTTTACCTGATTTTCATTTTTTGTTTGGTGTTTTTATAATACAGCGTTGTTGTTTCCAAGCCCAAAGAAATTGCCCATAAATTCAAGAACAAGTTCGGCAGTGCAGACAACATCGATAACACCGGTAAGCTTGTTTTGTTTTTACCAACTCCCAAATACTGAAGGTCTTCTCATAGCAGGAATTTCGGATTTTTCAGGCTTTAGACATAACTCCAACATTTTGGAAAAACAAAACCCTGTGTTGCATGCACGGAGAAAAAAACCAATAAAATAAGGCTATATGTTGCTATTTAGCCAATAAGAAATTCCGTTACTTGATCGTCGCTCATGAGCTAATATGAACATTTGTTACGTTTGATCTGATTCGTTGTTTTTCAGATGAAGAAGAGGATGTTGACCAACCACACAAGACAGGGAGAAGTAGCTGGTTTGCACCGACGCCGGCTACCATGTAAGTCGCTGGAAGAATTGATTGGGAATTTCTGTAATTTGATTTATTCAATATTCAATGAACAATAATTTTTTTGGATTTTGACCTCTTTTCATAATTTTTGGATGTAGTTTTGTGTTTAGTACATGTAATGTAACGTTTTTTTATTTGACTTTAGTGATGTTTTGATTTTGTGATACTTTTTCGTTTGTTCATTTGGTCTGGTTTTGGAGGACAGTTTTTACTGTTACATTCGTTTCACTGTAGTTTGTTTATTTGTTGGGTGAGTGATCTGTTTTATGCAGATATTCGAGACCAGCGCAAACTGTTCCCTGTATTCCTGAGAGGAAATTGGAGTTGTGTGTCTTGCCCAAGGACACAAACACCATGACACCATGACCATTGCTTTCATTCGAACCCACTACCGCATTAGTCAAACACCATAATCATCGAACCATGATTTTTGCCTTTGGTTTACTGATTGAAATCTTGAATATTTAAAAAAAAATTTACCTCAGGCCAAAGTCCAACAGCGAGGGTGAAGAGTCGTCCAGCATGGAGATGACAGAAAACGGTCACCTGATGATGAGAGATGAGCTAGAGGAACATCCGTTAGTGGGTCGCATGACGATACTCCAAGACAGGATATCGGAACTAGCGGCATCCGAGGCGCTACTACACGTGAAAATAGAAGAATTAAAGGTATTTAGCCTTATTGTGGTTTTTTTCTGGTAGTAAATAATAATGTAGTGCTTATGTAGTACTTTTTACCGAATTCGCAAAGCGCTTCACAATTATTACCCTTGTTCATCAGGCCATGAGACCAACTGCTGCAGCAGCTCGAGATTAGCGCAATCAGGTCTCTACCCTCACCAATGAAACATTCCAAAGACAATCTCAGCTCCCCGGGGAATTTACAGCTCGATGCTGCTATTTCGGAGCGAAGCAGCTAAAATCAACCACAATAACCATCTCTGCCCTCACAGGTACCCATTTACTCCTGGGTAGGGAGAAGCAATGAGTGACAAAGTGTCTTGCCCAAGGGCACACGCACCATAACCCCAGGCTGGACTCAAACCCACAACCTGCAGAATTACCCGCAGATCATGAATTCAGTGTTCCGGACCACGAGGCCACAGCGCTTTGCTGTAGATGAAATTGAATATTCCAATTTGTTCTTTTTGACAGGAGCAAAACAGAGAGCAGTACCAGTTCTTCAACCAGGCGCTGGCGGACGAGCGCTACCGGGCCGAGCGGCTGGAGGAGCAACTGGCCGACCTGACTGACCTGCACAACCACGCACTGACCAACATGCAGCAGGAGCTGAGCAGCATGGAGGAAAGACTAGAGTACCGGTCGGCCGAGAGGGAGAGAGATGTGCTGGACAACGTGGACCAGTGCCAGACTAGGGTGGGTAGCCTTGTCTCAAGTCACTCTTGTCGGGTCTGAAAGCAAGACTCTAGTCACTCTGGTCAAGACTCGAGTCACTCTGGTCAAGTCTGGAGTCACTTTGGTCAAGTCTGGAGTCACTCTGGTCAAGTCTAGAGTCACTCTGGTCAAGTCATGAGTCACTCTGGTCAAGTCTCCAGTCACTCTGGTCAAGTCTCAAGTCATTCTGGTCAAGTCTCGAGTTACTCCGGTCAAGTCTCGAGTCACTCTGGTCAAGTTTCGAGTCACTCTGGTCAAGTCTCGAGTCACTCTGGTCAAGTCTCTCTGGTCAAGTTTTAAGTCACTATGGTCAAGTCTCAAGTCACTCTGGGCAAGTCTCAAGTCAAGTCTGGAGTCACTCTGGTCAAGTCTGGAGTCATTCTGGTCAAGTCTCAAGACACTCTGATCAAGTCTCGAGTCACTCCAGTCAAGTCTCGAGTCACTCTGGTCAAGTGTCGATTCACTCTGGTCAAGTGTCGATTCACTCTGGTCAAGTGTCGAGTCACTCTGGTCAAGTCTCGAGCCACTCTGGTCAAGTCTCGCGCCACTCTGGTCAAGTCTCGAGTCACTCTCGAGTCACTCTGGTCAATTCTCGAGTCACTCTGGTCAAGTCTGGAGTCACCCTGGTCTTCTTCAGATAGGGCTAAATTCTACCTCCACGTGTCCTTGTTTCAGATATCGAAGATAGAACTGGCCCAGCAGCACCAGCAGGTCATCACGCTGGAGGGCTACGAGAACGCCAACGCGAGGGCGCTCTTGTCCAAGCTCATCAACGTCGTGCTGTCCGTCCTGGCCGTCGTACTACTCATCATTTCCACCATCACCAATGCGGTGTCGCCGTTTGTCGCAACGAGGTTTGTAAACAAATCCTGGATATTTGTCATCTCAAATTAAATAATGCATGATTATTTTTTTATGAAAAACTGACAAATCTTCACGATTGTTGTAGATATTTTGGCCAAATATTAACTTTTTTTGGTCCTTTTTTTTTTCCACAGAGGGCGTCTGTTAACCACCGTGACGTTCTCCTTCTTATTCTGTTGCATCTGGCAACGCCGCGAGGTCATCGAAGACCTGACCCAGCACATCGTGGAGAACTACAAACACTTATTCTACGTCAACAGTCGAACGTGACCCCTGCCCCTCGACCAGTTCCCGTTGTTCCCTTCCGTCCACAAACACTAGAGGGCAACATTCCCTCCGCGTCCAAAATGGAGGTAGTCGTGTTTAAAATTTGTGGCAGTACAGTTTTTTGTGTGGTTGGACACCAGCTGTGACCGGTATCCTACAGCAGGGAGTTGTGTGAGGCAGGACACCGGCTGTGACTGGTTTCCTACTGCAGGGATTTCGTATGTGGTTGGATACCAGCTGTAACCGGTATCCTACCACAGAGATTTTGTGTGTGGTTGGACACCAGCTGTAACCGGTTTCCTACCACTGGCAATTGTATGAGGTGTGACACCAGCAGTGACCGGTAACCTACAGTACAGATTTGTGTGTGGTTGGATACCAGCTGTAACCGGTACCCAATCACAGGGATTTGTAAGAGGTGTGACACCAGCTGTGACCGGTACCCTACAGTACAGATTTAAGTGTGTGGTTGGATACCAGCTGTGACTGGTAGCCGTCAACAGGGATTAGCACACGATTATAAGGCCCTCCCTCGTCCAACGGCCGGTGCTGAATATATATAACCATTGGGAACAACGACACCAATATACCACAGCAATTGTGAACTTTATGAACTGGGACACCACTTTTCATTGGTACTCTGCACGTCCCTTGCTAATGTTAATATTTGCCAAAGAATTTGAAATAGCATTTTTTCGCTGATATTTATGAACGGTACATTTTTTTTTGTATATGATTGAAAAACCAAATGAAACAATTGTATAGTTGTCCATGGAAGTTTGTTCACGTTGCGAAAAATCTGGAGAGATAATGTCTTTTATTACGCTAATACATGTAAGTGAGAAAAACTTCAGACGCTATTTGGACAAAAGTGGAACACTTGGATGTTCTTGAAAGTACTACGAGCTGAATAGTAAACATGTGTTCAACCACTTTGTCTTGTTCTTGTAAACGTACAGCGCAGGCAGTGGTAAACTCGAAGCTTAACATTCAACCTTCGGTGAAATTTCAGCAGCTGAAGATATGGAAAAGACAACTCCATACTCAAGAAATCGAACATTACCATGCTTGCACAACCGTCAGCAGAAACATTTGCGCAATACGCCGCGAGAGTTTGATGTCATCTCCTCTCGGTCACATTGGGCTGACTTCCTCGAAAATGGTTCACGCATTACACGTACGTTTAGCACACGCATTGCACGTACGTTTAGCACACACACGATCAAAGACAGCAACTTTACATCCTACTTTTTAGAACATTTTCACAAATTAGTACCTGTAAGTGGTTAACTGCCTTTCAGCAGATTGTCACCACACCATTTCAACCACACTTGTGCTTGTTTTCGCTTCAAAGAGGAGAATCAAGCCGATTATGAAACGGATTCGCAACAGCCGTAGCGAAACCTTGGTGTTCACCAGACCGTTGCAGCCCGCGTGAACCAGTGATCATGGTGGCACCGAGTTGATCTCTGAGTGACATTACGACTTTACGAATTGGTCTGGGGGACTAATTTGCCGAGGACCAGCTATCCGACAGTAAAAATGCTTAGAAAATCGACCTTTGACCTGTCTATCGACCTGTGGCATTTCCGGAATTCACTGAGAAAGCTAACAATCCGTTGACATACTATTATTAAAGTATTTGGAAAACAACGCTCATACACACGTACATGAACAAACCCACCGCAGTGTTTTGGTCGTCTGACATTTTGTTTGATGTTGGAATTTACTGGACTCTCGCCCTACGATTTTAATACTGCAACAATAGGAAAACTTTTTGCACAGTTTTTATTTTGGGGTAATACTTTGTGGAAGAACTGAGTCAGTTCGGTTAAATAGGTCACAAGGGAACTGCCACGAAAAAACAAACAAACATGAAAACAAAAAGTAGTAGTACATGAGGAGTTTTTTGAATACTTTGCAGAATGTGTTACCTAACGTTACATTTACAAGTGTATAATTTGATAGAGCTACTAATGCGCATAGAGCAGGATCCAGAATAATGTCTGGTTCCTGACCCATTAAGACCATCTTGTATTACACCCAAGAGGCTGGAATACTGCCATTTTCTGTTTCAAAAGAAAACGTTGTTTCTCTTGAGAAAAATATTCAAAACCTCAAAAAATTGCAAGCCTTCCAGAATTGTTTTCCAAAGCAAAGAGGCTGATCACTGAGGACAAACAACATTTTTTTTTTTTAAGTTGAGATCAAAATTTTGTAATCTTTTTGCCTCCAATTGGCTGAAACACCACAAGTATTTTATTGCCATGGTTGCTAAGGGAACACAGTGTTACCTTGGTAGCTATCCGTGGCAACCATCCATGGCGGCCATGTTGCAAAAGTCACACGCGTAGGTATGTGTATGTGGCAGACTTGCGGCACAATTGGCATGTACAATGTACATTCACTTTAATTTATACAAATTTTCATGCATTGTATTGTCTCATACATGTAGATATGCTTTAACCATAACTCATCATGCGTTTTTGTGCTACGAAGGTTGCTTAATCCTCCAAAATGCACCAAAATCTGTCGGGCGACAGGTACATACAATGGCCTGTCTCATTTCGTATCCGGGACGAGTTCCGGACGAGTTGCGGGTAAAATCATCCACTTTGTCCGGAACAAGCTCTGCATTTGTCCCGGACACGTTGCTGGGAATTTTTCACCAGCAACTGCTCGACTCGCCAATACTGATAACTTCATTGCGGGAAGATTGCGGGGAAGTTTTTCTGAATCCTGCAACTTATACCCGATACAATGTCCACAACTCGTCCAAGATATGAATTGAGCTGGGCCCTAAACTAGCAGTGGAAGTACGATATCACAGTACTCCTTGTAACAGCAACATACATGTACGCATTAGTCGCCTCCAACAATCTCCTAACAGTAGCGTTTGCAATTTAGCTAATTAGCACCTGTAAAACTTTGTGTTTATTCTCTGATGAACCCATAACTCTAGGGTGCGTGGACGGTTTGAGGTGGTACAGGGAGTAACAGGCAGGGCAGTTTTGAGCGTTACAGAGACAGCTAGAGTCAGAAATATGAGGAAGAAAATTCCTGTGTGCAGTTTAATACTGGAAAAAACCCACCTCTCTCGCAATTTGTAAAAAGGTTTTTTGCCTTTATTGAAAAAATAAAAAGTTTGGCAATACGGTGTAATTTCTAGTGAAGAAAGCTTCAAATAGTGCAATTGTTTTTATATATATTCCATTATCTGAAGAAGAAAAAACATCTTCAGACACGGATTTTCCAAATTGTCCATGTTCAGTTTTATCTTGTGGTTGCTAAGCGGAAAGCCCTTCACCTATTATATGTAGATCTGGTACCCGCAACATGTGGCTCACTTAACATTGTTTTTCCCACAAGTAAGTCTTGGATGAAGACAAAATGGCCACAGCCTGTAAGGTCCCAGCTTGCTTAGTACAATTATGTCAACTTAGTTGTGTACATATATTTTTTTTATGTAACGCAGTTTCAAAAACAGCTAACCCGTAAATTGTATATTGGCAAACTTGTGTATATATTGTAGATGGATGTTTCATATGTATGCATATGTACTAAAAAAATATTGTTTTACTACCAAAAAAGGAACAAGAACTTAAAGTTGAGTGTAATAAAAAATAAGCATAAAAATATTAAAATGTATATTAGTTTGGTATGTTTTCGGAGGTGGAAAGCAAGCTTGTTGGGAAAGAATATTTTGAGATAAGCATTTTTTAGAGGCAAGATATTCACAAACGACAAACCCCATTAACAAAAGGATTCTCACACTATCGTCATGCCTAATAAAAAAAGGGTCGACCGTTAAGAATTTTAACCAGGTCCAAATGAACACAGGTAGGTTAAGGCATACCATTCACACTGACACCGTTGTGTACCCAGGTCCGAAAATTTTGGATTTTCTACCCAGGTATAGAGCTTTTCAACCGTGGTCGCGCCCAGGGTTGGATTTTTACCTGTGTAGAACGCCAGACCCGTGCAGAATCCATATTGAATTGTTGCTAGTGCGAAATGGGTTCCCATAAATCTCCACGTTGGACGTACGTGAGTGGCACACAGAGTTTTTTGGATTATGTGAAAGGTCCTTACTACAAAGTGTTGTGCTTACCGGTTTCCACATTTGGTAAGCACTTTCACAAACTGTAGCCGAGAAATACATGTACAAAATGTACACAAGGAAATTTTTTTTTTCGAGACCACTGTGAGGTTCCCATAAACAAAATTCAGTGGTTAGTTTGTCCTTTAACCCTTCTGCCATTAAAACAGTCACAGACAGTCAAAATTCAGTTACACTTCCCCTGCTATACTTTTAACAAAGGCTAGTCACCAGCAGTCAGATCATTTGTCAAGCAAGCACTGTGACTAGTCAAACTGGGTCAACAGACAAAGCAGGCAAGTTGCGGTCACAGCTGTTTTATCACTCACCGGAGTCAAAGCATAGCTGTATTAAGTTACTTGATCAATCCAAGGCAGTCAATCCTGCTTTTATGTGGGCTGGGAATTCTTACAGGTTGAAAACAGTCACTTGATTGATTTTGACAGCAAGGCTGGCAAAGAATGTATATGTTTGCATAGGAGGATTAATTTAGGTAAACATGAATAGTATGTCCCCCTCAAGTACAACTTAGAGGTAAAAGCAAACAAAACACAAGGAATGATACCAAGTCAGGGAACCAGACATATTACCATGGCAATCACATTTTTGGATGTTTTGTGTATTAATGAATGTGAAGAGGTTGATTTTGTTGCTTTTTCGGTATTTTGGAATTTTACTTTAGTCTTTATATTTTGCATATTTTTAACATAACTATCTAGCCAATTTTTTTTTATATACTTAATTTATTGCTTTAGCAAATAAAGTAGAGAAATGCTGTGGTAGCATTTCAGATATTTTCATAGCTTTTTGGCTTTTGTTGGTTGCATTAAAAAAAGTGCAAAAATAACAACTGGCCTGAATTTTGGAGTTCTGAAATAAACACCCAATATGTGATACACACTGAAATGTGCATTTTTAAATTTTTTTTTTTTTTTTTAAACCAAGGTTCACAAAGTCGATGTTGGACAAGCCCACATTTTAAAAATAATTTTGGGACAAAAGTATATTGATATTCCTAATACATTTTGGCGGGTTTCATATCGGTGTGGCAACGCCGTGCATGATATTTGGTACATGATATTTGTACATATTTTTTTCCCATGCACAAATGATCCACTCTGGCTTATTCCTGCAGAACAAAAACACTGCACCTTCAACATGGCTGCCACGTAAGGGGTCAATTCTCAGTGACATAGGGAGTCACAAACCTGACAAGGTGTGCTTCCAGCTGATAATGGCCCTTCAGCACTCCAAAGATTAGTACATGTGGACTTGGTAGTCCTAGGCAGAAATAAACTTATGTAGAAAAAGCAAAAACTCTTTACTAGATACATTTTCAAAATGGCTGACTTAACCAACAGTGCATGGTGACCAAATAATGTGATTTTTGTTCACTTTTCAATCAGATTCGTATTTAAACCAAGGCCAAGTTCGGGCAAGGACTATTAGTTGACTAGTGGTTGATTTGTGACTTAACTTCCGCCTGCGCACAAATAGCAATGTGCGAATGTCTCTAGTCGAACGCTGGTCAAAATGTCATCGCAAAACTTCTGGGTCCTGGCTCCCTGCTGTACGTAATGAATGCGCGTGACTATTGGTTACCAGCGATGCAACCAGCCCCAGTAGGCTGGTTCCAAATAGTCGACTAGCGTAGTCAACCACCGTCGACAAGACAGAGTTCGGGCTAACTTTAGTCAAACTATGGTTAACCATTGGTCAGCAACAGTTCTTGCGCAAACTTGCCCAAAGATGACACCAACCAGCATTGATTTTCAAAATGGCTGCCCTTAGCAACAGTAAAACACATTTGTAAACATATCTCCCTCAACCCCATACATCTTCAGTAAATTGTTATGCAAATCTGAAGGAAAAGAAATTGTTGGGGAAAGTCTTTAGCCAAAACTGACAATGTTTACGTACTACGGGCGCTTGGACTCGAATTTTGACTTTGCTTTGTCATCATGGTCACATGAGCATGACGAGTATGACTGACCACAGTCAAAATTTTGAAGAAAAAAAGGAGTTCTAGTGCCCAAGTTAATTCCAACAATATTTGTAAAACAATGAGGAAGTTTTAAAATCTGCATGTCATAGACATTTCCAAAGCCCATACTTAAATAATGTTAACACAGTACACAAAAACCTATTTGTGAATTTGTGTACTTGGTAAATTTTTTTATATTGTATTTTTCACTTGAGTTGCAAAAAATGTTTTAATTCCCTGTAAATTTGCTACAAGCGGTGTCAGACAAAGTGTGTACCGGTGTATGGATGTAAATATAGAAATATATTTATCTTACCTGTGTAAAAATTCATTAAACGATACCTTGTAATGCATCTGAAGCTGTTGGCCATTGCTCCATTATTCAAGTTTTAATTGACATGTGCCATGCATGGCTTGTTGCTAGTTTAAGACGATGACATCACAGAAGCAGTAATGAGGTCACAGGTCAAACTAGACTTGGCTCCAGTCTGAAAATTTGTGCTCTCTCCAGTTCAACTCGAGTGTTCAAAATTAAAAGCTCGTCAAGATGAATTTCAGTGCAAGTTCAAAATCTTATACTAGGGTGATGACTCTTTTGGACACAAAAGTGCTACTAAATTAGTCGATAAAGTGGAAGAATTCATCCGCCATCTTGAAAAATCAGCCATCTTGGAAAATCTGCTATCTTTGGGGAAAAAAAGGCCTCTACTTTCCTTTTTCAAAAAGCTCGGGCGAGAAACCTTTTTTTTTTTTTTTTACTTGGCCTAAAACAATTAATCCTCTTGAAACACCCTTTGAATATTTTCATGGAAAATAAGAAAGAAAGAACTGGTTTGTTAATTGTGAGAATATGAAATAAAGAAAGTTGAAATAACATTGAAATATGCACGATGCAGCACCGAAGGATTACAGGTCTTGTGCAGACACTTTATTTTTCAATAAAGAGGGCAAATAAATATCCCATTTGAATAAAAAATACTCCAATTTCTGATATACACTCAAAGAATGTTAAATGTTGGGTTTATGGTTTAATAAATGAGATCTTAAAAATTAAACCTGGTTGTTATTTTGCACATATCAAAGAGCACTTAATATGCCTTCTGATAACAAAAAGATCAACATATATATAATCAATTTTTTTTTAAAATAAAGTACGACCATTGTTCCTTTTTTTTTATGCAGTAAGACTTCCATTGGAAACTAAAAATCACGTTTCCTTTTGTTTTGGGGACTTGGGTATTAATATAACAATGGAGATCCGGAGTTTTATTCAACTTTATAAACAGTGAGCAAATGGCGCCCTCTTGAGACAAGTTGTTACACATGCATCAATCAAACTTTAATTGCCTTTTGTTCAGGCGATTCACAATGCAGTGTGCCACCAATTTCAAGGAATAAGTAGTAGCGTCCAAATTCTATACATTCATCTACATGTACAACAATAGAAAATATAATACATGAATATTACCTACCCTCCCTCAAAAAATGGCAAGACACAAATTCTAGCAAAAAAATCTGTGGTCATTTACCGACACCACGATAGTTTTCACCAAAGAAATAAATACAAAGAAATAAATGAACATTATAAACGTTTTCAAGACGCGACAACATGCATAAAAAATCAGTGAGTCAGGACATGAGCGTTGTCATGAATAGCGCCACCTATAGTCAGATGGTGTCCAGTCCTGTTTACGGATGTCACCATGAATAGTGCCACCTATTGTCAGATGGTGTCCAGTCCTGTTTAGGGATGTCCTAAATATACCAGTAGTCGAATATTTGATTTACTACCGAATAATTCAAATAGCTTTCTTCCGGTTTCAATATTCCAAAACAAAATAGATACCCACATACACACATGACTGTAATGCTATGTTATCGTAAAGTTGTGGTGCTTTATTGTCAGGCGCCACTTTTTTTGTCGACTATAACTTTTTTGTTGACGGCAGTTCATTGTTTACATCCTTTTAGCAGGTTAAATCCCTTTTACAGTTAGAAAAATACTTACTGCAATACAATCCAGCGCTCTATACGAATCGCCAAAATCAAATTGTAACTGGCACACTGTTCGTGCAACTTTTTACTGGCGCAGCAAGCATTTGCAGCTGGCAGTTTTGAATATCTGAATATTCGGCCAAACGCAGTTTGAGTAATCGAATACTAAATTAATCAAAATTGGACAGCCCTAGTCCTGTTTGACTCAAACAGCGCCCTCATTTGTCAGACAGTGTCCAGGCCAAATTAATGTATGAGCAATTAGCCAAAATAACGTTGAAGTAGCAGTAAAGATTCAGTTGGAGAGGGTTAACGAAAGAATCTGGCAATTTTAAAAATAAAGTAAATTTGCTAAAAAATGATGCGAACAACAACAAAAATAGGAATTTCGTACTTTCACTGTATTTACAATGCACACTTAATGTTCTTTAATAAGTGAGGAAAAAAACAAAATAAATTACTTTTGTGTTCTGTACGAACTCACTACATATGCTTTTTTAACCACTTCGCGCCGGGTTTAGTTTTGCCGAAAATTTCCAAATTTTCAAGAGGCAAAATTTTCCAGCCAACTTCTGATATACAGCCAAGCACCAAAAATACTGATTCGCAAGAGTCATTTCAACAGTAAATTTGTACAATATTTCTTGCCGAAACCTCACGTTTCAATACTCCAGGGCGTGCACTGGAGCGTAAATTGTACAACAATTGGCGGTGTACAACGGCCAAAACACGGTCCGCCTCAACAGACAACACGGACTGTGTGTGCGCGTACAAAAGGCATGAGGCATTAGCGTTTTTAGACGTCACCCGGAGCCGAGTCGAGGCAATCTTGACGTCGTGATCCGTCAGCCGTGCCTGTGCACAAAAACAGCCAGTGCGCGTCATCACGGCCTCCGGCGCGAACTGGTTGAGAAAGCAGAGGTCGCTAGACGAATTTGAAGCACTTTTGTTTATCGTGGGGAACCCGCGTCTTGAAAAGCACCGAGTCCACGCGGAACTGCGTATAGAGCAGGGGTATGTACCCGTAAACCTGGTTGAAGAACTGAATGCACCGGTGGCGTTCCTTGAAGTGCGAGTCGTCCTGCGATAGCGCTTCGGGGCAGGAGGGGCAACGGAAGGTCCAACGGGAGGTCACCTGAATTTTTTTGAACAGAAAATAAATATAAATTCAAAAATTGGACTGACTTTTTTTTTGCTTGGGGGGGGGGGGGGGGGGCGCTATTTCCTGTCAAAGATGTGTTGCCATGGTGACTCATTCACCTTTTGTTACTGAAATAATTCCATTTGACTGTTTCTCAAATTCAATGCTTTGTAATCCGAGTTTCCTGGCTTCACAAAGCCAGAAAATATGGGAAAATTATCAATTTTTTTTAAATAAATTAAAATTATCAACAAAAGCTTGTGATGACTCCTCTTTCTAGTGTGCAGAAAAGCTGCAAAAGTAGCCAAACATGTTTTTCCCTTAATTTTGTTAAATTTGAAATTTGACTTTTTATCACCAAAACATTCAGGATTTTGTGCTTTTTGGTAAAAATACTGCAGGGACTGAGTTGCTATTCAAAACGTGTGAACCAATGCTTTGGCTGTTGTTCTCAATTCGACCAATCAAAGTTGAGCATCCACTTGCCCGGTTCCCTGCGTACGACCCAGCCGATCTCCACATACCTTAACGGGTGGTTTCCTGGTGATGTGGGACACCAGGAAGTTCATGGCGATGTCCTCGCAGTTCATGTATTCATCAACTTTGTCTCGGATGACCTGTGGCATGACGTAACTGTAGAGGTAGGCATAATACTGCAAGACAAAAATGAAAAAAAAAAAAAAACAGAGATAATCTCAGACTACTTGTTTGTGACTCATGATCAGAGGGTCAGGGATTCTATTCCAACTGCTGGTCATATGTTGTGTCCTTGGGCAAGCCACTTCACCCCCACTGGTCTCTCTCCACCCAGGAGTGCAAATGAGTACTGACATTAGCTGGGGAGTAACCTGCGATGGACTGGCATCCCATCCGGGGGAATAAAACTACTTTCAGTTTCATGCCAAGGAAACCGGAGATAAACGCTGGCCTGATGGGGCATATTGGCTCATAACAGACTTTACTTCTCTTTACTACTAGTTAATCATAAAACCTAGTAGAGGAACATGGGATTTGTTAACGGCTTGTGACTAGCATCCAATCTCCCTTCCTTTAAAAAAATACATCCATTTAGTTTGATATTGCTGTTTCCCTTCATATTTCACTTGATATTATTATTGTGACCACCAAAGATTTCTAGGACCATACGGTATTTATTAGCTGCATTCAGTGTTACACACGGTGCTGCTATTTTGGCATGAACTGCATTTTATCTCTGTCCTATCCATTTTAAGTGTTCTTCTAGATCTGGATGCAAGTCGGGCGATTCACAATGCAGTGCGCCACCAAGAGTTTGCCATGGAGAGTCCACTTTTTAAGTTTACGGTCGACAAAACATGGCCCATTTGAATGAGTGTCAGTAGACAACTTGAGCTAATTTGTTATAGATTGGGGCATAGCGTTCTGCCGCCTTAAAAAAACCCACCATATTGATAAAAAGAAAAGGAAAGGGCAGACACGTACTCGAGTCATACGCTAACGAAACTACTGACTGGAAAAACAAACGATTTCAAATGTCCCGCGCTGCGAATTTGTCAACCATCTCCCACAATGCATTGGGAATAATGAACTCTCCGTGGCAAACTCTTGGTGGCGCACTGCATTGTGAATCGCCCAAATTGTGATAAAGTGTCTTGCCCAAGGACAATTCTACCACAACAATACAGCCTGAAGATCAAAAAGTGCATCAGTACCAGAGCATGATGCCCAAAACGCATCCAGTATGCAGGTACCAGCATACACATACATTTGTTGAATTTAATATCTAAATTTGATTGAAACAATTTTGTAAACCTGCAGTTTTCCATAATCGTACCTTGTGAATGAACGCTGCACCAGTCAGCACCATAGACAGCTCACAGGAGTAGTTGGAGTTGTACAGGAAGCCGTTGTTGAGGTTGACGTCCCAGGCGTGGTAGCGGCCTGGAAAGCCTACAATCTGGTCTCTGTTCTCACGCCAAACTCTGCGATCAGAAAAAAAGAGAAAATACTTAGAATTACAGTGTATGCACCAGTGTTGTAGTCGAGTACTTTTTTCCGAGTACCGAGTACTGCCGAGTACTTAGGTTGCCGAGTACGAGTACAAGTACGAGTGCTTGTACCTCCGAGTACAAAAACAGGTCTCCGAGTACGACTACTTGTACTTCCGAGTACAAATATGAGTACGAGTACTTGTACTTCCGAGTACGAGTACGAGTACGAGTACTATATCATTTCCCCCGAGTACTGCTATTCGAGTACGAGTACTTTGCTGCCCAAGTACGAGTACCATCATTTCGAGTACGAATACTTTGACATTCGAGTACGAGTACGAGTACGAGTACTCCAAAAAAAGTACTCGAGTACGAGTAACGAGTACGAGTACTACAACACTGGTATGCGCTTCAATCAGTTCTCGCCTCTCAACACTCAATTTTTACCGAAACTTTTACTACTTTTTTACGGGCAACAGCACACTCTTTGTTTTACAAAACTGAAACTTTTATGAAAGGTCCCTTTAGCTTTTGCTGTGAACTTCCTAAATTCTCCTAAAGCCAACATTTTTTAGGAAACCGATCACACGTCCTGTGTACTTAAACTATCCTATAAATACACTCCTCAATCTCGCAAAACTTCCCTATGGATTTTGTAAGTTAAAGAACAATTTATTTGTAGATGAGTTTTGAAATCGGTGGCCTGTTGCTTAAAAGACCTGACCTGAAGCCAAAGAGAATCTCATCGTGTCTGAGATGGGCGTCGTCGTCCAGAGAGAGAATTGCCTCCGTCTCGATCTCGTCGTAAGGAAGAAACCGATTGTTGAGACTGTTCTTCTTGGTCCGTACAACCTGGAAATGTTAACATGAACAGGATAAATCCCAAGTCAATTACAAGCCAATCCCAAGTCATTCACAAGCCAGTCACAAGTGAATCACAAACCGGTCGTAACTTGATCTCAAGTCAATCTAAGTCAGTAATAGGCGAATCACAGATCGGAAGTCGATCGCACGTCAGTCAAAAGTCGATCACAAAAATATCACAAGTCAATCATAACTTGTCCATCACAAGTCAATCACATGTTATTCACAAGTCAATCACTAGTCAATCACAAGTCAATCACAAGTCTATCACAGGTACATCACACGTGCATCACAAGTCGATCACAAGTCCATCAGAAGTCGATCAGAAGTCAATCACAAGTCAATCACAAGTACATCTCAAGTCGATAACAGGTCATTCATAAGTACATCACATGTCAATCACCGGCCAATCACAAGTCAATCACCGGCCAATTACAAGTCAATCATCGGCCAATTACAAGTCAATCACAAGACAATCACAATCAATCACAAGACAATCACAAGTCAAACCGCACGTCCCATAACAAAGGAAAGCCTTTGTCACAGGTTTAAACCAGCTTCAAGAGACCAATTAACCAATTTTCAAGCCTCCTTCCTACCTTTATTGGGACGTGAATTTCGGGCCAAATGATGTCAGCTGCGGCCGGCTTGGGAGAGTTCCATACCACTATAACCTGTAAGAAATACATACATGTACATGTACATGAAATCAAAAAGTTACTATTTTTCAAGCTTCATTTCAATGCCGTCTTGAAATGAACCCGGAGTTTTTCATTAACCCTCCTATGCAAACATACACTCTCTGTCAAGTTGTCCTTTCAGTCTAAATCAATCAAGTAACTGTTTTTAACAGTTAATAATTCCCAGACTACATACTAGCAGGATGGACAGGCCGTGACTGTTTATGTAACTTGATCCAGCTTTGCTTTGACTGCGGGAGATTGATAAGCCAGCTGTGCCCACAACTTGCCTGATTTGTCTGTTCATGATCTGTTGACTGAGTTTGACTAGTCACAGTGTTTGCTTGACATATGATCTGACTGCTGGTGACAAGCCTGTGTTAAAAGTATTGCAGGGGAAGTGGATGGCAATTTTTACTGTCTGAGACTGTTTACATAGGTTTAAAAAGATAGAATCAAGAAAATAAGTCTCATAAAATGGCTTATGTGACAATGAAGATGTATGCACAAGTCCACACAAAAATGAAATTTTACAAAGCAGCAATTCTTTCTTTCTAAGCTGTCAAAATTTCCTTTTCGTGTCAAATTCATGAATAGTCAGGTCCTGCCAAACACAAAGAATTTTGTTCAATTTGACAAATCTTGACAATTGTATGACATAGTTTTTTAGTGCTTCATCGTTCATTCTACCTTATTCAAGTACGGTAATCCCATGAGCCTTTCCAGTGATGTCATCAACAAAGCGTCTCTCTCGTACGTCAGGATGATGATGGTAAACTGCTCCCCGGGAATGTTGCCGCCGAGCGCCTCCTGAAATTCCTTCCCTGTACCCCCCGAACCTTTGCCTATCGGTCTGAAACCGAGCCCTGATCCGATAAACTTGGCATCGGAAGGGAGTACGGGGTCGAAGGGCGTGTTGGGAAAAAGCTTGAAGGGCCCAGGCGCCGTGTTCCAGTTGACGTCGCGGTCGATGGTGCTGTAGGTGAAATTCCGCAGGAATTTCGGTGAAGGGAAGGGGATTTCGGGCGGCGGGAAAAAATCGTCCGACTCGGGCATCATGCCCTGCGCCCGTTTTTGTTTAAGCGGGGCGCCCCCGGGGAAGAGGTTGACGGACTGCTCGGCCGGCATGATGCTGGCGGGGATGTTCAGCCTCGTTCTTAGGGTCGCCAAGATGGTGTCTAAGACAGCCTTGGCCGAGCTCAGGTATGTTGTCCAGACGAACCAGCCCTGCCCGCGAAGTTTTACAATATCATTGTCTTGGATGGTTTTTAAGTAGAAATATAACTCCGACGCTCGCGCTTTTGGCAATATGATTGCGGCTTTCCGCCATTGGATGAACTCGCCGAACGGAAGCTCCACGTGTTCCCCTAGGATTACCGGAATCGCTCCATGCTTTAACGCTTCGTAAAGTCGCATCTGTAGCATTGTTGACGACACTATGTGTTCGTCGGGGCCTATAATTAATGCATACGTTGACTGCTTTAAAATCGCTAATCTATCTTTTGTCCTACATATCCACCACTCTGATAGGTCGACGCTGGCCGGGTCGGCGTTAAGCGGCGGGCATTTGAACTCGATATAAAAATTATCTACCTGAAGGGATTTGAGTTTGTGGAGTTCTTCTTGTATGAAGTCGCTCACAGAGTTGACTTGAGTTCTGTTGGAGTCTTTTAAGCGTCGACTCATCATGACGTTCTCGACGTTCGCGTGTCCGTGGTTGGACTGTTTACTGGCGTAGGGGGATAATATCCCCTGGAAAGACAGAAGGTATTTTCGTTTGGCTGGGACGAGAGGGGGTGTTTCTTTCCAGTCAAATGACGCTTCTTTTCCTAGAAGCATCGGCGCGACGATGTCAAACCCGGGTCTGAATTGCGCCGCGTCAAAGTTGGACTGCACTAAAATGGCGCGGTCGGTGTTCATGCCGTACAGTACGTTTGTCGCAGACACATTTCTGGCAAGGTTTAGCAAAACGTGGTTCCGGCCGTCCCCCTTCCACAATGGAAGCTTCCGGAGGCTAGTCTCCAACTCCAGGCTGGACGCGCTCTGCCAGTGGTCTGCGGTGTCTCCGATCAGGACCAGGTACACGCAGGCGATGTTGGGATCGAACGTGACGTGGGGGTTGGTCGTCATGACGTTGGCAACGCTAGTCCGAACAAACGCGTCCAGCGGTTGTTTCGAAAGCGTGACGTCCTCACTAGCATAAATGTAGACCGGGAAATGCGACGTGAGTGAGCAGCGCGAGTAATCGAAGCAATTGTGCTGCCGACACTGCGCGCTCGCTTGCGGTGGTTCCACGTCAACATTGTCGTCCAACTGGGGTAGGATTTGTTTCGGGGCTCCAATATGGAGCATAGAACGCTGTATGACTTCCTCGTAACTTTTGCGCTTCTGAACAATCTCGAAGTTGACCTTGTCGAGGGTGCTTTGCGATTCCTTGTTCTCCCTCTGCCTCTGGGCAATGAGGGCGCTATACTCGTCTATCTGGTTCTGCATGTCCTTGCGCCGGGCTTCCAGACCCAGGAGTTCCTGCTGGACCGAGCTTCGGATGCGGTAGAGCTCTTCCAGGCGCGCTTTGAGCTCCTGGGGCTTCATCGCTTGGAGGTTCTCCAAGGAGAGTTGCTGGGGTTGGCTCCGACGGGACGTCGCCGGCAGCTCGGCGTTGCTGAGGTAGTAGTGCGTGACCAGCGGGATGAAGACCATCACGACGATCAGTAACATGATCAGCTGCATCAGGATGCCGTTGCGCTGCAGCCAGCGCAGGAATGTCGCCCTCGCAGGTTGCGCCGCGCCCCCGTTGTACCCCTTCCTGTGCTGGTAATCCATCACTGGTTACCGCATCGCGTGCCACAACACGCTCCGGTCATCTTGCGCGCAAATAAAATCCTACAATCGCTGCCGACCGTGACGGTAAAAAATGTCGACTTTCTTCGCCCGTTTTCATTTTGGACTGCTTAAATTTCATTCATATATTCTAGCAAAGCTCTTGTCCAGTTTGAGACACACTGAGAGAATTTTAATATTTTTTTGTGTCAATTCCACAGATCAACCATGCTCATCATCATTTTGCTCCGCAGTTCTTCAGACCGTTTCATGTTGCCATGGTTGACCCCTCTCAAAAAGCACTCAACAAAAACCCATGCCTCATTCTCAGTCAGGAAATCCGACTTTTGGTCAACAGAGGATTTCTGAGCTCACAAATAATCTCCCCTTGTCATAATCATCCAGCGCTGTTCATTTCACTTCTCCGAAATGCATCTGATACGCCGACAAAAAAAAAATTATCCTGAATTTCTACAGAATGCAGATGATGCCAGATCTTTCACATGACAAATTACACAAGTCAGGCGCTGCTAGAGAAATTTATCTCTGTCTTGCAGACATTTTCTCAAAGAGCCGTGGGGGTGCTAGCGGGTATCTGTCAACAAAAAGGCTCAATTTTCCCAATGACTGCTGCCATGTATACAAGGATATTGTCTGGCTTTCGGCCCAAGCCAGCATAATTTGAAATTTCTGTTTACGTCCAAGATGACTGATTGGGACTCGCTAAAAATGAAAGTGCGTCAAACTTGTAGGGAATGGGGTGGGCAATTCTTAAGATCTGAACTGAAGAAATATGTTGTCTATCCGGAGCTGGAATGCGGGAAACCCAGTCGCTGAAATTCTTGGGGACTCGGGGAAATCAATCGTCCTGGTTTGGCTGGATCGTTTAGAATTCCTGACAGGTCCTGATGTGCGACTTGGGTGACGAGTCACGTACCGAGCGTCTAGCAGGACGTTGGGCTGTCTTGACTAACAACTAAACTGCTAGGCTTGCAGCTCAATTGACAGATCTGTAGAGGGGGAAAAAAGAGACCATAAATTTAAATTGAACATCGGTTTCCAATGCAATAGGACTGAATCTCCTGATAATGTTAATCGCTCTTTGATGTGGTTGCTGTTTCCGAATTTCGCTGCAGAAAAAGGAAAAACGTTTTCCTTGTTCTTTGTTTTCATTAAGCTGGTGAAATATAAACAGGAAAAGTGCAGGGACAGCTCCACACACTACAAAAGTCATATATTTAGATTAAAGAGATTTTTACTGGAAAGAATGATAATTAAATGATATTGATGAAATTATTGAAATAATTTCTTTGTTTGTAATAATTAGTTAGGGGACAGTTTAAATGTACATTAAAGTGTGTGTACATATTTTGAATAGGTTAGTGAAATTGACAAATGTTCTCTAGAAAATTCTGGTATCATTTTACGATCTCAAAAATTATTTTGAATTTTGAATTTGAAACATTTTTAGAAATCTGGCAGATTTTGTGTTCTTTTTTAAGCATTAAACAAACACTCACAATAATTATTTTCTTTGGAAGTAAACCAAATTTGATGATTTCAGAACATGTTTTCCAAGAGAAAATCAAATCATCTTTTAAACAATAGAATATTTCACAAGAAATTCTTTGAAATTTTGTAATTAGATTACCAAAAACCATTAGCTTGAAATGATAGCCAGGATTGGATTCCTAGTAAACACATTTAACCTTTAGCTCAAAGGAAACCCCCAAATCCTGCGTTATCTTTAAAAAACAAAGACACGTTTGTTCCTTTAAAGTGACTCTCAGGGAAGGAAGTGTCAAAATAGTCAAGTGCCCTTCACCACAAAAAGGTTAGGGTCTGTTTCCTGACAATAGAGGTCACAGGGACACCAACAAGCTGTTGAGGTTGGACACATTACATGTACTCAGGGTGAAATTACTGTCAAGTGTCAAGATAAGAGAGACATCTGTGGAGTTGCCAAGCTGAAAACATTGCTTACGAAGTTAACAAGCTAAGCACAAATCGGCAGGGAACCAGTCACATTCAATACCCAAGGCATGGCATTGTGGCTGGTAACCTGTTTCTGCTAAGCAGATATTTCCCATGCTTAGCAATTTTCTGCACTTGACAAACTGCAGCACAGAAATCAAATCTGCTAAGCACAGAAAATATGTTCTCAGCAAAAACAGGCTACCAGCCAAAATGTCAAACAATGTACATTGCTTGTGACTGGTTCCCAGCTGTTTCTTGCTAAGCACAGAAATTTGCTGAACACGGAAAATATTTACTTAGCAAAAACAGGTTACCAGCCAAAATGTCACACAATGAACATTGCTTGTGACTGGTTTCCAGCTGATTATTGCTAAGCACAGAAATCTGCAAAGCACTGGAAATATCTGCTGAGCAAAAACAGGTTACCGGCCAAAATGTCCTGCAAAGTTTAATGCTTTTGACGACTGGTTCCCCGAGCAGAAGTTTTGCTTACACAAAATTTTGTTAAGCAATAATTCCTGCTAAGCAGAAAGTGTTGAGCATTTTTTTTTTTTCCAGAAGAAACAAGTTGCGAACCAGTCACGGTCAATGACACTGCATGAAATTTCGGCCGGTAACCGTTTGTCTCAGCAAATGTGCTTCAATTTGTGCCAAGTGCTCAGTAAAAAATGGATTCTGGCCTGCAGGAAAGGCAAATAAACCAAAAACATACAGCACTTGATCCTCCCAATAAATGTAGCAAAACAGAGATATTTTGCAAGTCAGTGTCCTAACCACTTTCCCCTTTATCAAAACAAAACTCTCAGACAAAAATCTTCATCCCATCCAAACCACTTTCAGATCTCCCAAGCATCCATTCCTGTTAAAATAACAAAAAAACACCATCCTTCAAAATCCTGTCATTTTGAGTTCATTTTGAGTTCAAGCAGCCTACAGTCTGGTGCCGGACCCTTTTGGTCCATGAACGGACTCTCTCCATGTCGCCCATTAAGTAATCCACATGTATTTGCCAACTGCATTTTTGGAAGTCAATGCCCTTGGCAACAACATGCACTTAAGTTACACACACATCAATCGGGCGCCAGGCTAATGCTTTTATAAGTACCAGCACATGTACATGTACATGTACATGTACTACATGTACATGTGAAGAAGTTCTTTTCAAAACGCTATTGGTCATTGACCCCAAAATTTAGTTCAATTACGGAGGAACAATTTGATTGTGCCAAAATACAACCATTTTAGATTTGAGTTGAAAATCTGCGTTTTGAGTTTGAATTGTTCTCAAAGAATTGGGGATAAATCAAATGACTTAAAGTATACAAACATCTTACTCTGAACAAGAATATTTCAGAGTATGATAACATTAAAACAAATTTTCACGAGACATGTACTACATGTATATCCTGGTTAGTCTTTCAACAATAAATGTTATCCAACAGTATACAGGGTACATGTACATGTAAATTTCTCAAACTTAAAACTTACAATCTTAAAATTGGCAAAACTTAATGGGTCCACAAAAGGTTTTTTTTCATTTCCTAGGAACACATTTTGTGCAACTTTCTTCTCTTAAATGTACGAAAACTATTTGACGTCTATTTTTGGTTAATTTTATTTAAAAGTGCACGCTTTAAAACATTTAAATGGATGCTCTTTCAGACAACTGAGGGCGCTGATGCTGTGATGTCATTTCAGGAAGACACTGTTCAGTTTAGGGGTTTTCTGTTCAAATTGGGAACCCTAAAAAATCACTCATTAAAAACATTTGTGAGAAAAGTTTACTCATTGGCTTACTGCCATGTACTGACACAACTACGAATCACCAAAGAAAAGAAAATTCATGACAGAAAAATATTCCAAATTCTGCCCAATTTTGGTGCTGAAATACCGGTAGATGTACCATCCAAGTTTCTGCCTGAAAAGACATCACACATTTGCTCATGAATACAGAAATTAGCATAAAAACCAAAAAGGCACCAATATACGTACCCTTTAACAATGGCAAAAACGAAAATTGAAAATAAGGCTAAGGCCAAAAAAAAATAGTTATGCTTCCGATTACATGGCATTTGAAAATAGGGTACGGTAGGTAGGTAGGGAAATAATTCTTTTTTGCCAATTTTTTTTGTGTACGATCATAATATTCATATGGAGGCGTGTGCGTGTTGTCAAGGGTAGAAATTGATGGTTTTGGGTGTTTTTGTTTTCATTTTTCCCATAAAAAAATTAGGGTAGGGGTTGTCAGAATAGGGTAGGTAGGGAAATCGGAAGCAGAACTATTATCTTTTTTGGCCTAAATGGGACACAAAGGTGCCTTTTCAAGGATTGCATTTTAAAAATTACATTGCGGGATAAAAATGAAAGTGTGCAAGCCAAAAGTTGTCCTTAGGCCTACTCTGCATTTTGAAAGTGTACATGTACCGGTAATTGACTTGAAATAGTTTTAGAGACTTGTTTTGATAGTCTGTGCGACTCATTTGTTGGGTTTCTTTTCCCTTCCTGTGATCTAACAATTTCCTGGATCGACTTCCTGGCTTTTGTGGTCATAACGATACCACCCCCCCCCCCCCCCACTTCCCATACAAACTAATCTCCGTTTTAATCAAACTGCAGTAACTTATGCACCACAAATATTTCGGTTGCATCAGGAAGGCAATCTGACCAAAACTGATGGCACAGATAAAACGTGGCCAATAAAACTTTCAACAGGCTGCAATACGTACCAGGGTACCGTACAAGTACCGGGTATGTAAATTACATGTGTATGTGCAGGCTGTGCAGTATACATTGTACATTTTTTCATCAAGACGTACACATGTAAGCTGCAGGTATACTACAGCTATGAATCCCCTTATAATACAAGATGTAGACATGACCCCCCCCCCCCCCAAATTAAACACCCAAATAATACCTTATTAGAAATGCACTGAACAAATGGGGAAATATCGTGTTTTTTTCCCAACTTGCCTTTATTGGCAACCATAGCCTTTCACTCTGTGACAAATGACACAACAAAAACCAAAATTGAAAAGTGGCGCAATTCTCTAAAAAGACCCTTTCATAAAATTGGTCACTGCTCAGTCAACCATGAATGTAATGACATGATCAGGGTGTCATTTTAAAGAGGAGATTCAACCCTAACAAAGGATATCTCCCTTTGATTCACATGTGCCCTACTTCTGTTCTAATTAGCAATAATATCTCAGTTTTTTTTTTATCCACCCTGTACAAATACATTGTATACAATGTTCAAGTACTACTACTAAGTAATAGAATCTTCAACATTGAAACTTGTGTACAAATGAAGTAAGCATTTTACTTACCACCTCCATGGACCAAGGAGGTAGGATAGACCAGTACAAAAACTAAGAACATCAGATACATCATAGTACTGTCGAATTCTACCATAGGCACACTCCAAACAGACATGCATGATCATTGTACATGCACAGTACATTTCCAATCAATAGGCCAACCACTTGCCGGCAACGTACCAGTACCACCAGCCAGATGTGGCTGAAGTGAATCAGCTTGCACAATGATCTAATTAATTCCCCTCATATGCCGGTCAATAATAACTGGCTTATATTGTGGTATTAGTCACACAATAGTGGCTGGGTGTCTACACACGTGGCATGTATTACGCCACATGTCTTATTAAAGTCTATTATTTATTACACTTTTATCCTACGTACATGCACACGTACATTGATACATGATTTGTACAATGTTATTGTGTGCATAATTTGCAAGAAAGCAAATATTTTATGCACAATATGTATGTAAATTATGTGTGTACACGTATGACAAACACTGTAATGTACCTTTGCTTATTAACTGCCTCGTCATTTTTAATCAGTTTAAAACTTTCATCCAAATACTTAAATTGTGTGGCAAGACCAATTCTTTCCTTTCAATTTTAGTAGGTTATTTTTATCTTGGTCTAATTTTATGAAATTGGCGGTCGTGTCATTGGTTCGATTCCCACCCGAGTGTTTTTTTCCTCGGTGATCGAGTGGTAAGATATCTG